ACAGGAGTCTTCAGAACTCAACTTGAGGAGAAGCTTTAGGCGGATGCGTCAAGCCCAGCTCCGGCAGTGGGACCAGGGTCAAAACAACAAGCTCTGCTCCTGGCGTGCTCGGAGTTGAGACGATCTCTGCCTGAGCGAGCACGACTCGCTGTGCCGATCCAGGCGACACCGCCCGAGTGGTCTCATCAGTGCAGCTTTGCCATCGGGCGCTGGGCTCTGTCACGCGTCTCTCGCCGACATGGGTGCCGCGCGGCCCGCTGGCCTCTTCCGTGGTGCTCTGTTAGTCACGCCGACACCGAGCATGACGCCGCCATGCTTCCGGCACGCCACGAGAGCGACCATATAGGCCACGCGGATAGAGGCACGGACGGATGAAACTACGGGGACTGGCGGAGCTCGGGCGGATGGCACCGCAGGGAATGAGAGAACCGCGGAAACCACGCTGATATATCTCTGTTGAGATTTTCATGATCCTGGCCTTTGTGTATTGACATAATACTCTCATGGGTTCTAAGAGCCAACTGAGAAGATCCTCGTTGCTTCCGGTTCAAGGTGGTGCGACTAAAAATTTTCTGTGAGCTTTAAAACCTTGATGAAACACCCGAGCTAGTTGCTCGGAGTCGGGGAAGATACGCTATCCTATTTCGAAATATGACGTTGCAAGAAAAGCTAAACTGACTGTTCGAGAAGCATGCACGAGGAAGCAGTTGGAAGGAACACGGAAGTGATATAATATAGATGTTGAACAATAGAGGGGAACTATCTTGAATACGAATCAATCAGGCCTCACACATGTCTTCCAGGCCACGACACATCCGTTCCTCTGCCACATAAAGGCGTCGAGAACGCAGCCGTTCGCCGATTTATCGCAATTGGCCATCGCAAGCATCGATAACGGGCGCACGCCTTCCTTCGATCTGCCACGGGGGCGCCGGACGAGGGTCGTCAAGTCCAGTTCACGAGCGCCATTTGGCGCATGACCTTTCCGCCGCGCTGGTCGAATGCCGCCGCAGAAATGGGCCCTGACAGCGCGCAAGTGCGCCCGCGTCTTGAATGGGGGATTGCTGGAGCGGCGCCGTCTTCCGGCTGGGCTGGGCTGGCTCCGTCCTGTGATAGTTCGGAGGCGCACTCGCCGGCGGCCGGAGATTTCGCCGGCGGCCATCCACGGAGCGAGCAGCGTTTTCACCAGCAGGCTCACGCTCAAGCAGACGATGGCGCGCTTAGAGCTGGACCGAAATATCTTATTGGCTTTCTGACGTGTGAAGCCTGCCTTCTCTTTATCATTATAAAGGCTATCAACTGAACAATTCCACTAAATAATAAGTGCACTCCCTAAACCATGTCAGGCACGCAGCAAGAAATTCTGGAATGTTTTCTTGTGCCGAAATGCATGCCTAACTACCCGCTTGTCCATCTTCGTCCCGTCCTGACCCAGATCTAGTCAGCCCAATCCCCACAGCCGGTGGCACCAGGCCCTGCTCACTCCTCACCCACCTCCGTCATTGTCGACACCGTCGCGGCAGTCCATCTCCAGCTTGATGGAGCAGTTGGTGCCGTCCCAGCCGTCGTGGCAGGAGCAGGAGTACCACTGGTCCTGCATGGTGCAGGAGCCCCTGCCGCTACACCCATCCGGGCAGCCGGCTGCAACCAAGGCCAACTCAGGTCAGGTGAGGGCAGCTGGGACGTAGGCCGGTGTGGAGCGCACCTCGCGAACCTGGGCTGAGGATATGACGTGAAAAGAAATCCGCGGATCTCAGGCTTGCTATGGCCGGAACAGCGGTGGCTGATGCCGTTGAGTGCTCCTCGTTCCAAGAACATCCCCCAAAGTCGGCACATTGCTCCCTGCGCTGATTTATTTACAGCTGTGCGAGAGTGGCAATACGCTAATGTGAAACAACCACAGCGACGGCCCCAGTGTGCGAAAGCGACACGTTAACTCCATTTCCTGATCACGGCAATGCTTTAGCAGGCGTCGATCCCCGACCCGTCCAGCGTGATACATGAGGCCATTAGCTTTGTCCGCCGACGCCGCCGCCGAAGTTCCGCATCCAGCGCGGTTTTTCGCCGGGGGCCTTCAGCACATCGTCGGATTTACATCTTACTGTCACCCCCCAGTGGTCGAGACAATGACAAATGTCCTCGTACCGCGCTGGAGGGTGTCGCCACGTTATCAATCGTGTCCCGGCTGCACGACAAACAGCGGCAGTGGGGTCCTAGGTCCCGTTTTTGGCGCCGCTAAGCCAATACGAATGGATGACACGAAGAGGGCGCTCCAGAACTTTGGCGGCGACCATTTCGCGTAGAGATGAGTGGGAGACCGCACTCGACAAAAACATCTCACACTGGCTGATGGCGCATATTTCAGAGAATGGAATGATTTTGAGATCAGATTCACCGAAATGTCGATGAGAAAAGACTCCGGCACTTTTCAATATCTACACAGGAAGTGGATAAATGCGTCGGGCCACTTTCCGCAATAATCCGCTTCAACTTTTCCTTTTGATAATTCCGCGGGGTGGAGAATGGAAAATAAATCTATAAGCGTGTGTCAGCGTTGGTCAGAAAGATCAATGCGAGTATACCAATAATGAAGTCCGGAAAGGGCGATAACCGGGCTGTAAACTCTGTGGATGCGCCCAATGGTCGTCCGTATGGAAACGATCAGCGGCCTTTGCTCCTGGCCGTTACACAAGGAGCTGTATTGACGTCAGTCAGTACACGGTACATGGATCGGTGCACAGGCACCTGGATCTGTGGATCAGTGTCCGTCGTGCACCAGTAGCTGGAAGAGTGCCCGTCGGCACACGAATAGGTTGCTGGCTGACGCCGGAGAAAAAAAAAACAGGAATCGTGGTTAAAAACAACCGTCATGCAGGGTATATAAGGGTGTCCAACAGTATTCAACACTAAATAATGCCAGTGTCTGCTACCATATGAGTGTCCGGAACGTGCCTAATGATAACAAAATAGCGTTCCTGTACAATGACAAGTTGGCTGATACGAGCTGTCCGCGATGATCAGATGATATCCAGCACCACTTGGCATTACACTGGCCAGCGCGTCGAAATCGTTTGATTTAATTGTGTCGTTCCCCGCAACCTTGTGATCTCACGCATAGCCACTGACGCCGCCGCCAACAGCTTTGAAAACACCTTCACCAACCTCTGAGGCACGTGATATGGACGCATCTACGGGATGTCAAGTAACTTTAATATAAGGCAGCCCACCCTAAACTTTTCTCTTGATTGTCGGAGAAACGCAATCTCCCTTAGTGGAACTCGAGTCGTTGATGAAATCACTTCAAGAAAAACAAGCTGCGCAACTTTACTTAATACCGAAACTCGAGTCAACCGGGCCTCCACAATATAACAACGCCCCACAAGGCCCTCTCCCACATAAAACAATTCCCGTGCTTCAACAAAACCGTACTTCCTCCAAGCCCACCCTCTTCGAGAATAAAAGCCGCCTGAGCACTTCCTGGTCGCTCCGTATTTTTAACGCCGTGGTTGCCCGCGGCGTCATGAATGCGTGAATGCTACGCCGTGTTCGATAACGCCTGCGGCGGCGCGGCTGAATGGCGTCAGCACAGTGTCGTCCATCACGCTGTCGCCTCGCCAGTTGTTGCCGGTCCCGGCAGCTGGCGACGTTCCCAGTCGGCGGCGCGGCGCCGCGACCATTCAGGCCGCCGCCCTACAGATTTACGCCGACAATGGCCCGCGCCAGCCGGCGACGGCCGCCGGCTCTGGCTCGGCCCAACATTCTGCGGGGTCTGTCCAGGAGCCGAGCAGCCCGCTGCGTCCAGCAGCCAAACAGTCGGCCGTGTCCATGAGCCGAACAGCCGGCTATGTCCAGGAACCGAACAGCTGGCTGTGTCCAGCAGCCAAACAGTCGGATGTGTCCAGGAGCCGAACAGCCGGCTATGTCCAGGAACCGAACAGCCGGCTGTGTTTGGGCTGTGTCCAGTAGCCGAACAGCCGCCTATGTCTAGGCTGAATCCAGGAGTCGAACAGCCGGCTAGGCTTAGGCTGTGTTCAGGGGCCGAACAGCCGGCTATGTTTAGCAGTCGGATCAGTCTGAGAGTCGGAGGGTCGGATCAGCCCAAGGTCCAAACTGCCAGGTCTGCCTGGATCCCAGGATCATATGCCTGAGTTCTTGATCTGGACCTTCCACAATCCAGAATACTCCTGGAAATGTTAACAGAGGATATTCTGGGATGTAAGGTCCACTCAAAACAGTTACCGAAGAGTCTTCTAGGATCTTGGGTCTTTTCCAATTTGGTCTATGAATCTCCCATCATGTTGGCTGTGTTTAAGTTGTCTTGGCTTTTACTGGGATCCAAAATTTATGTCATATTTTGTCAAACAACCTTTCAGTTACTGTCATTAAACGGCATACTGCTTTGTAAAATATAATTAAAGTCAGAGCAACGCCAAATGTAACGTCGCATTTGCCAAATTTAGACCAACGAAAATGAGAAAAAATAGAAATAAATGTGCTAGCGAAAGGAAATCAAGCCTACACAAGCTAAAGTGGGTAGTAGCATGTACCGTAGCAGCCACAGAATACGCCTTTATAGGCATGTTTCACATTTGAAGATATTGAAGCAAGCATCACATATGATGAAACACGCTCACTTCTAATTATTGGTACAATTCTTAAGTGGAAAAACCGCTCTAGACAACATAATTCTCTGTTTGGTAAATATGCTCCTCGATGCGTCATGGTTTTATTACTTCATCGTACCTTGCACAACATTGAAAGCCAATCGACGGCCGTTTTATCTGGAAATGGTACTCACGAACGCCAGATATGAGCGCCCAAACAACAGTTTTTTTTCTGGGTCCTGATCCCCACATGCCAGAGTGACTGACATACTCTCCCGAAATACTCCCCCATTTTTGCGAGCATGTAGCTCAGAAACCAAGGGGGCTTAGGAGTTAAGAATGGCAGAGCTGTGCTCTGTACCAAAAGGACTTCAAAGATGGTAATTTCAGTTCAAGGCCACATATAGCTATGAAATATTCCCTTTATGTCAGTTTTGTATTCAATCTGTGTTCTGGCTGTTCCAATTAGATATGCGTTTTGTTTGTGACCAATGAAATCAAACTTGCGGCAATTTTGTCTCGTTTTCTACGTGGCTTTGGACGGGATGCTCGACAACTGGCTCATTTTAATTTAGATGACCAATATATGTTATTATTGTACTACCTGCGATGTCTGTCACGGTTACATGTGTATGATGATCCGGGACGGCAAACTTCCAAAAATGTTGGAGGTGTCTCGAGTTTTCCAGTCAATCCTTCCCACGCGATGAACGTAAGTGGCAGTTAAAGTACAGAATCACTGAGGATTGAGCCACTGCTGATCAAATACGGAAAGCGATCCCACGCTGGCTTGCTAACTGCTATCGTATTTAGTTGAATACTTTGAATGTACCTCAATGATCGCAAGCGTGCCGCTTAAAATTCATGTGACAACAATGCCTAAATATTCTTACTCACAAAATCTTGGCATATTTAACTCACAGCCTAAAAAATGCGCGCTTATGCAGGTCAGCTATAGCAAGCAGGTCGGGAAGCTGCACCTGTACTAAAGGATCCGTCAGTCCACAAGCCTGGATATTTCGGAATCCTGGATCCGTTTCGAAATGTTGTCAGACCGTCTTCAGGGATTTGTTCATTTCAAGACGGATTCTCTATGCTATTGAGTCTTTCGTGTAATTTTAAAATAAAATTATTTGGGGTGCAGGACCGCTGTCCTAATAAGGTTGAGCGATCCTTCAAGACGTCGGACATTTCTTGCGATCCAGATGCATATCTGCTTCTAAACGCTTACACCCCACACAGATCTGCTACATCTGAGGCGGAACCTCACCTCCGCGTAGAGCTACCCTCGCTCCGAATTCCTCCGCATCCTCCGCACACCGAATTCCGATTTCCTCCGCATACCTTGAAAGCATCTCAGCGCCATTGATTCCAGTCGGGAATTAAGGAAGTCGGTCCATTAGTGGCTGTGATAGCGCCGGGAGCAAAAACCAATGGCATTAGTCGAGTCGTCCCGGCGGACAGCGGGGCTGAGCCCAGTCGAGCTGGCAAAGCGGCTCTGCGCCCCCGGCCGTCTCGATTGATGCTCCCGAACAGGCTCTGCTCGGGCGCGCACGGACGCACAAAACTCTAATACTGAATAGCGGTGCCGTAATAGGTGGTGTGCTGCTTTGTTCAGGCATATCGAGTTGGGGGAAGTTGCTGCATACGCGTCAATGGAAGTCACCGCCGAAAAACGGACAATGCCAAGAGCGCTGACAAATATAAAACCAAACGCTGGTGAAGGAAACTACAGCAGTACTGTTCAGGCGCAATGTAATCTCGATGCTTTCAGCCATACTATGCTTGCAGCCCATTGTGCTAATGGAAAACCTATAGGCATTGGACGTTTCCGTGGACAGACTTAAAATGGTGGCGGAATAAGTGCACTTTTCAGCACGTCTTCCGTACGTGTAGCGAACCACATGCCGTTGCTTATACTGCTTTACGGATGCACGAACACTAAAAAGATAGCGATGAATCATTTTTAGAGTTCATAAACGCAGCCTGCATTGGACAGCTTTGACATTATAGCCGATGTTTGCTTGATCGTCAAACATCATAAACAAACATAACATCGTCAAACCAGTGCCTCCTGGTATAATGAAGGTCGGCAGCTGTCAGCACACGAACGCTGGACTCATTATCCTCAGATATGTCAGCGGCGCCACAGCCGGCAGCACTGGCTCACGTCCCGCGCCGCCACCGCTGCGGCGTGCATCAACACGTAACAGCATGTATCATATTGATGAACTTACGACAGGACGGTGCCACGAGGTACGGCAGGACACTGCCACGAGGTACGACAGGACAGCGCCACGAGGTACGACAGGACAGCGCCACGAGATAGAACAGGGCATTACCACGAGGTACCACAAGACAGTACCACGAGGTACGACGGGACAGTACCACGAGGTACTACAGGACAGTACCACGAGGTACGACGGGACAGTACCATGAGGTACGACAGGACAGTACCACGAGGTACGACGGGACAGTGCCACGAGGTACGACAGGACGGTACCACGAGGTATGACGGGACAGCACCACGGGGTACGACAGGACAGTGCCACGAGGTACGACAGGACAGTACCACGAGGTAGGACAGGACAGCACCGAAGCAGGCGTGTGCCGCTGGACATATACTGCGCCGCCGTGCATGATTTGGCAAGTTATACTGTGCCGCAATATTAGAAAACGGCAGCCTACGACTGGGGGCAGGGCAGTGTTTAAAGCAGAAATGAATTGACTAAGCCAGGAGAAAATGCTTGATGAGGTTGAATGCATTCCTGCCGGAAATGGAAAGCAATCTCATGCATTCATTTCAGCCGTAAGTCCAGGACTATCGTAGGTGAGCCAATGCTCATGTAGCGTAAATTTTGCTAATGATTCAGAACGTTGGGAGTTTTCAATACTCGTCAAAAAAGTTGGGCACTTAATCAAAACAATTGTTCAACACTGTCGACAAACTGACTCCAGCATTCAATTAAAAGCAAACTACGCATTCTACACAGCAGCAATCTTAAGTTGTAACAATACACCTAAGCAACACGCTGTTAAAACAAACCTTATTCTTAAACATTAAATGGCATCAATAGACCATATTCATATGTCCTTATAATATTTGCGTTGACATGTTGGAGATGGACGTCATTGCGCCAGCTGATTCTGCGTCAAGTACATGATAACGTCACAGCACTTACACGAACAGGTATTTCATGTCAGTGCAGAACAGTTTGGTATATGGCAGTACACACTTTCAGAAAGCCAATGCGCTGTCTAACGATGTACTCACGAATGCTGCAGTGTTGACCGTTCCAACCCTGCAGACAGACGCAGGTTCCGTTCTTGCACTGGCCGTGTTGGGAGCACCGCGGGTCGCATGACCTGAGGTCACAGAGCTGGCCGGTCCAGCCGGAGTCGCAAACGCAGTCGCCGGCCTGACAGGAGCCATGTGGGCCGCAGTCCAGGTCGCACCGCGCTGGAACGACGACAGAGCGCTCCAGCACGCGTGCGGTGCATAACGTCGACTCAACATCCCCTGGTGCACTGTGCTGTTGTAACAACTAAGCCCGGCTTATGGCCGTCGAGTGATGTAGTCCTTTCTGCAGCACGCTCGCCGGATTATCGCAATTTAGCACGCAATTACGACGGAGATTTGGCCATATTCGTCCTGCGAACGAGGCGCTGCAGCAGCTGAACCCCTCCCCGCCCCCAGCTCCGCCACGAGAGCCGAGCCCGACCAGCGAGCTCCGGGCGGCGGAGAGCGGAGTCGGAACATCGGACGCGCCGGCGGCATAGCCAGTGGCACTGCAGCCGCTTACTGTCAAACTTCGGCCGTTAAATCGCGGCCTTTCCGTGGAGCTGCGGCCAAAAAATAGAGGATGGTATTGACACTGCCGACTTGCTGGCGCGTCGCGCGGAGCCGCCAACTTCGCCCTGCTGTTTGGCCGAGCCGAACCGTCGGTGGAACGATCTCTTGGCAGCCCCGTAAAGCCCAATGCCCGAATGTCCGTTCCGGTAATGGTGGGCGGTTATTGAGCGGGATAGATCGGGTCAGCTAGGCCGCCGCTAGCGTAACATCTCCGCCGCCCGTCTGCTCGGCACGGGTTCAAAGGGAATGAGTACCGCCGCTGAGTATTTGCCTTGCGGCGTGTCGGGAGACCGGAACTCGCGCAGCGAACTGGCCCGGGCCACCTCGGCACAGTGAGAATGACATTGAACCTTTTCTGTACCGTTACTTATGTTTTAAAGTTCCCAGTTCGCGTCAAGCAAATTAAGCCTGTGGTCTTAATAGCGGCTTGTCATTGCCTATGCCGCAAGAAAAGGAATTTACTCGTATGGAGTATGACACTGAGCCTGCTGGATTTCGTAAACAAAGTGTGCGTTGCTGCTGTTTCGATGCTGATTGATAAGATGCAGCTGAACATCCGACATCGGAGCATTCGCGTTCCAGCACAACGCCTGGGTTCGCAGCCGCGCGAATGCATTTAAGTACAGACAGGGTCTTGAAACAAGCCGTTAGCAAACAGCTCTCACACGTCAATCTATGTATAAGAATAATACCGAACCTGCAAAAGTGTGGGCAACACAGGATGTAATTGGTCACAACAAAATCAAAGACATGATGAAGATCCACGTCTAGTGCACTTCACAAAGCAGTCAACATTCAAGAAGAACAGCATCAAGCAATGGGAGCGAGCGCCAGAGAGGGCGTCTCCGCTGACCATACTGACGTTTGGCGCACTGCCGGCCGGTCCACATGTGGTCGCAGAGGCAGCGGTCGCGCGCCAGGTCGAACACGCCGTGGCCGGAGCAGTCGGGCAGGCAGCGGCGGATCCGCTCGTCCGGCAGCTGGCAGCTGGAGCCGACCCAGCCGGCCAGGCACACGCACACGCCCTCCGAGCACACGCCGTGGTTGGAGCAGGTCGGGTCGGAGCAGTCCGCTGCCGGCACGGCCAGCCGCGTCAGTCCGCTGCCGGCACGCCAAGCCACGTCAGTGTGCCCTGTCCACTGCCGGCACGGCCAGCCGCGTCAGTGTGCCCAGTCTGCGGCCAGCCGCGTCAGTCCGCTGCCGGCACGCCCAGCCGCGCCAGTCCGCTGCCGGCACGCCCAGACGCGTCAGTCCGCTGCCGGCACGCCCAGCCGCGTCAGTCCGCTGCCGGCACGCCAAGCCGCGTCAGTCCGCTGCCGGCACGGCCAGCCGCGTCAGTTCGCTGCCGGCACGGCCAGCCGCGTCAATCCGCTGCCGGCACGCCCAGCCACGTCAATCCGCTGCCGGCACGGCCAGCCGCGTCAGTCCGCTGCCGGCACGCCCAGTCGCGTCAGTTCGCTGCCGGCACCCCCAGCCGCGTCAGTGCGCGCAGCCGTCCGGGCGTGGCCGAGGCGCCGGAAGGCCGCGAACTGACTGATGTTTTGCACTGACCTGCTGTCGTAACACAAGGGTTTGGGGGCGTCCAGGCAATCGATTAATCGCAATCGATTCCACCTCGACTTACTTCAACTTTGTTTATCGCGGAGTCGACTCAAACTTCACGAAGTCAAGCACAGTTTGCTGCGAACTTACAGTGTGTGGACAGACAGCAAATGGAATTACAGTCCCCTTATCCACGTGAGTCCTGTCGCTGACACTCATCTATCTTACGGTTCAAAAACTTACGGTCAATTAACTCACGGCCTATCAGCTTACAGTCCACTGACATGCAGGACATCAGCTTACAGTCCACCGGCATACGGTTCATTACATTATAGTCCAGCGAAGCGCAGTCCATCGACATGCAGTTCCCTGCCAGCGCCAGATAATACTAATTCCGTCTGCTGTCAGCCACCGGTGATTCATCCTCGCGTCCGGGTCGGTGGCGGCATCACTCGACTGTCACCAGTAACTAGTCTGTGCCCTTAGCGCTCCCAGTCGTCAGTGGCCAGTCTGTACACTGGCTCCGCTCGGCAGCAGTGTCTAGCTATCCATCGGTCGGTAACATCACCATTGCCCGGCAGCAGTATCCTACTATCCGTCGGTCGGTAGCATCGCCACCGCCCGCAGCAGTGTCCTTCTACCGGTCGGTCGGAAACATCCCCACCGCCCGGTAGCGGTGTCCTGTTACCCGTCGGCCGGTGCCATCCCCAGCGGCCGTCACCAGTGGCCCGTCACCCGCCCGTCCGCGCCATCACCATCGGCGTGGCAGTCGGCGGCCGAACAGGGCCCGGCGCCGGTCCCAGCTGTCCGCCCATCTGATACGGCCCGATCGAGGTCGGCTCCGGGGCGCGCCGCTCGCATGCCAAGCGACCGGGCCGGCGGCGGCGCGGAGTCGGCCGCCGCTCGTCCGGCGGCGGCGCGCAGTCGGCCGCCGCTCGACCGACGGCGGCCGACTGCGTCCCGCACCCGCCGACAGTAATTCAATAGTGCCCGGCCGCCGACTCCGAGAGCGGGCCACGCCCGAACCACCCTCGCGCTTCACCTCCACGCATGAGGTCCGCGCGTGCGGAGCCTCCCACCGGTTACTTCTGCTCAAATGCCGTTCGCAGAGCGGTCTTGTTGCCGTTGCAGTTGCCGCAGCCTATTTCGAACATGATTATTTTTTAAGGTAAGTAATGGCCAGTCACCAGGTAAGTACGGGAAATAAATAGCTTGTGCATCAATTATTATCGCACAGCCGAAGCCTCGTTCACAGCATGTTTTCGGTGCCGAAAGCATTTTTTCTCAAACTAAAGCAGCTTTTGCTGTCTTCGGCGAAATTTAACTCATTTGAGGTAATCTTGCTCAAATATTGTGGCACCCAAGACACAAATGGCAGGGAAGAGGAGGAGAAACGCTCCAGTGATATGAATACTTCCGCCCATGCCTCGTCACCTCTCTGTACCTTTTCCTTTCCCTCTTCCTCCCTCACCCCTTCAGTCTAAACATTTGATACCCGTACACATCTGTCTGAAGAGCTGTTGAATTTTTCCGCTATGTTTAACCCTACTTTCCCTATAGCCCTCTTTCTGGCCAACAAGATCTGTTTTTCTTCTTCCCATCCCGTCCCTACCTCTCCATACATGTCTCCACATTGTCGACTCTTCTCGCTGGCTGCACATGATTTCATCCATCAGATCTATGCCGTTGCGTCTCGTCTTTCTCCCCGTCAGAGACTCTCCTCCTGGCTCTACCCCCCGCCCCCTCCCTCTGCCCGTGTCAAGCTCCCGAGGACGAGACCCCACAGGATTCAGCAGACCGGTGCCGTATTAACATTTCAGCCGCCGCTCCGCGCGCCTCCCTTGTTGGCCGAATGCACTATTCAGCCGGTCGCCGGCGGCCGGCCCGGTCGGCTGCTTTATTGATGGAGACGGCCAACAGATGGCGGGCAGGAGGCGGCGGCCCCGCTCCAGCCGCGCGCCGCCGCTAAATATTGCATCTGGCCCCGTGATGGACGAGGATCCAGCAGAGTGGCTGAAGAATACATTTACTCTCCGGGGTAAGAAGACGGTTCTGCCAGCGCAGCCCGTCTCCGCTCGTTACCAGGTACATCGGTCAGAGGGCACGGGGGAGCGGGACGGCGGGAAACCGGATGTGGGAAACGTCCGGTGCACGGCGGCGGAGAGGAGCACATCTGACCCTCTGATGTACCAAGTCCGCGTAATGGAGAACTTCACCCGCGGGTACTTCGTGTCTTCAGGCGACTACGCATCCGAAAAACAGCGTCCTTCATGGATCTGTGATCGCGTGCGTGCCGTATTAACGAGCCGCGCGCCCGCCAGGAAGTGATCCATCGCTTTCATCCTCGTTCCCTGACGGCTGCGCCGTGCCGTGGCCGCCGCCTGGGCCGCCTGACCGCCGGCAGCGCCGTCCGACCCCGACTCACCGGTCTGGCAGAACTCGCCCTTCCAGCCGGGGGCGCAGACGCACTGGCCGACGCGGCAGGTGCCGTGGCCGTGGCAGTCGGCGATAACGCAGTCGGTGGCGGGCAGGTCGCACTCGGCGCCCTTCCAGCCGTCGTCGCAGTGGCACCGGCCGCCGCCGTACGTGCCGTGGTTGCTGCACAGCACCGGGCACACACCTGCGGCGGACCACACAGCTCAGCTCGTGAGAAGGGGAAGGGCGAGGTAATCCGCAGGTAATCCACAGGAGGGCGCAGGACGTGCAGAACAGGCAGGACAGGCATACGGGGCAGGGCAATAACACGGCGGACCGCACTGGTGGCGGCATAGCACGCCAGAGCACACTGACAAAAGGGATCGCACGACAGGCCGCATTGGTCACAGAGATGAGACGACATACTACAATGGCTTAGGGATAGCACGACAGACCACACTGGTCTGAGGGATGGCGCAAAAGACCACAGTGGTCAATGGAATAGCGCGACACGCCACTCTGGTCTAAGGGATGACACGGAGATAGCAAATGACGGAGACACGAAGGAGATGGTACAACAGACTGTACTGGGAAGAGATGATGCAACAGACTGCACTGATCAAGGGAAAGAAAGCCCGACAGATCGCATTAATCAGACGGATGGCACAAAAGAGCGCACTGGTAAAAGGAACGGTACAAAAGACCACACCGGTCAAGGGGTCGTACAACAGACAGCAGACACGACGAATGGCATGCGCTGTGTTGACAAATCGTAAATCATGTCAACTGCACTGTGATCATAAAATAGGCCACATTTCCAACAAAGCACCATGAGTGGTGATGTTACAAAATTTCATGATGCCGACAAAGACCAGATTGATGCTGTTCTCCGAGGGCCCGCTGGAGGGTGGTAAACAACATCTCTGAATGCTTTATTGGTGGTTGCTAGCTTGCATGCCGTAAAGAGCGGTAGATCGCTATCTTGCGTGCAGTGGATCAGCAAACATTTCGGCGAAAAGCCCTGTTCACTGCTGTGTGGGGGCACGGAAGAGTCTTCCTCCGTGCGCAGCACTGCAAAGGGTTTATGGCCGAAGCATCTGCTGATACCCCTGCTCTTACATAAGCTACCACCACTCTACACGACATGCAGACCAATCAGCATTAAAGACTAAATTGTCCGGGTTGCACGGGTCTAAGCAAGCAAACTGTAAATACCACGGGACAAATGTAAAGGGTATGTACCACGAAGCTTACGGAACACGCGATCGAGATCTGCCGGCATTATTCCAGGAGCAGATGGCAATCTCTTGTTCACCGCTCCCGCAGCGGAGCACTCCAGCACCTACTGCGGCGTGCTGTTTGGTTTTCAGCGCTCGACGTTCTGCTCACATCACAGAGCGGGCGCCGCAAACCGACCGTTGCTAGGAGATCGCACCGAAAGACGTCCGAATGGCCGGGATAATCAGGTAACGTCCATCTAACGCGAATTGAACGAGCAGGAAGCTCGGCCACCAGCGCGATTGCTAGAAATTTAAAAGCAGTAGCAAGCCAATGAGCCTTGTCGGCAAGGGCTAGGAAGCTTATGTTTCGTGGCGTTATTGTAAGGAACCACACAGAATAACTTTACGCGTAGACATGGTCTCACCGAGGTGATGAGCGCAGAAATGGACCGATGTCTTCACTCAGAAACACATGGTCACGATCCTTCCAAGGCGGCCGAGTCAAAACAGCTAATGCCAATGCTAGAGCGTTCATGTGGCAGCATCGAGTCTGATGATTATTGATGACCATTCAGACTTGAGAAGTGCCCAGGTGGGGTCTGGCGAGTGTTGCGGGATCACTCCCAATCTGCTATTTATTCACTCACGATTGATTCGTCGCGGATATATCGGACGGCGCAGAGCTTCGCTGCCGCTGCCTAACCTCATCAAAGTTCACCATTAGCCCTCTGTTGAGCGTGCGTAACGAGACAAATTAGCAAATACGTTCCTCCACAAAACATTTCATGGGCGGATCCTACGTTACTGGCTGGGACAGATGCTCCCGTGTTCGTTGTGTCCACTGTCCCATTGTCTGCTGTGTCCGCTGCCCGCTGTGCCCGCTGTGCTCGCGGTCGCTGTGTCCTCTGTGTCCACTGTCCCGGTGTCTGCTGTATCCGCTGTACATGTGTCTGCTGTGTCTGCTGTGTCCGCAGTCCCTGTGTATGCTGTGTTTGCTGCACGTTGTCCGCTGTGTTCGCTGTGTCCGCTGTCCCCACGTCCGCTGTGTCTGCTGTGTCCGCTGTCCCTGTGTCTGCTGTGCCTGTTGTCCCTGTATCCGCCGTGTCCTCTGCCCCTCTGTCCTCCGTGCCCGCTGTCCGCTGTGTTCGCTATGTCCGTTGCTCGCTGTGTCCGCTCGCTGGCCCCACCCAGACCGCGGACGGCGGCCGGCGCCGGCGCCGGGGAGCGGCTACAGTCCAGCGCCCGGACCTGGAGCCAAGTCAAGCTCGCCGGCTGACGAGCTGCCGAAGTTGGAGGCTCACACGTGAAGACGTCAATCCTCGGAAAAATAGCTGGCGATGGGGGAAGACGGATGGCCGCCGGCACATGACCCGACATCGCCACGCCGGCCCGAAGGTCAGGGCCGTCAGTCACCTCGACCGCACCATGACAGTCGCCACGGAGCAGGTGCTCCAGCTCGGCCGTCCTCGTGGAGCATACGCCCCGGACGTGCGTCCACCTGAGGACATTCGCTCCGGACGGATGTCCACCTGAGGACATTCGCTCCGGACGGGCGTCAATCCGAGGACATTCGCCCGGTCGGGCGTTCAGCTGAGGACATTCGCTCCGGACAGATGTCCACCTGAGGACATTCTCCGCGGGTGGGCGTCCATCTGAGGACCGCTGCGACGGCTCGGCGCCGAGCCCGAAGCTCGACTTCCGCCAGCAAACCGACCTGCCCGCCGCTGGTGGGGCCACCGCCCACGCCGCAACTAACAAACAGCTAGCGTTGTAACATCGACCTGCACGCAGACCGCACCGTGTCAATAGCCTGGCGCGCCGCCGCGGCAGACTTCCCCAATGAAGCGTCCTGCGGTGTGGCTGGCGAAACACAAAGCGTGTTTTTGCAGTCCACTGGCGGAGCGACGTCCGGGCCAAGCAGTGGGGCTTTTAAGCTAATGAGTGTCATACATTACGCCACAGTAAGGGCTGGATTAGTGGCTATAAAGAATGTCACGCAAAGGAGCGCCTTATGCCCTAGGCGTGCCCCCAGTGGTGTTTTACATGTTCACTGTTGGCGTCCACAGTGGACCGGAAGCCCTTCGCTGTGTCCATTGCTCGGAGCACTGGATCCATACATGGATCATGTATACGTACGGCTTGCATGAGGAGGGAATTAATCTCCATGTCCGACATTAACCCTCGCTGGGTCACCTGCGCCGACATATTATTGCCCAATACGAAGTCCCCGGAGTCAACAGATTGTCATGCAAAGAGCAAACCAGGTGTTTGGAGTGAAAGCTTAGAGAAACCTCCAGTGCCGCACACATCTGTGCACATGGCTGATACAAATATGCAACAATACGACAACAATACGAGCCGATGATGGGTAATATATCTAAATAAAATGGGATTGTGACAGAACCACTCCTACACCAATAGAAACATCACTGAAACATTTCCGCAGCTGGCGTTGGTTCTCGGAAGACATGTTCTACGCATCAAACAAGTTTCCAGGACTTCGTAATGTGACCGAGATTTATCTCTGCCGCAGCTGGCCAGGACGTTGAGGGCAAGGACGCTCCCAGGGTTACAACTAACTCGAACAGCTCAGTTTTAGAGCCTTCCATCTGTGCGGTTCACTCTTACACCGTTCACCGGTGACCTTTTCACGTCACAGGCAGGAAGCAGACCTCAGCAAATGGTGAAGACCGCACTGCACTGGTGCGAAAGCCACCCCTTCACGAAAAGTGTGCCGACACCCACGAGCTGGGCTGTGTTTTTGAATAATTTCTCCCGATTCCCACCAGGGCCTTACCCTACTTTTCAGCCCGAGACAACACAGGTTGGTCGCAACGAGCCCCATGACGCTGCGCGTGCCCCCGCCGGCGTCGTACTCACTGGTGGCGCAGTCGTCGCCGCTGTACTCGGGGCCGCACGCGCAGACGCCCAGGTGGCAGGTGCCGTGGCCGGAGCAGTCGGCCGGGCAGCGGAGCGTGGCCACGTCGCCGGCCGCCAGCACCAGCCGCACCTCGGCCGGCGCCGGGTCGTCGTTCAGCACGGCCAGGTACCAGTGGCCGGGCTCCAGGTACTCGGTCACGGTCACGTTGACCGGGTGCTCAGGCAGGGCGCGCACAGAGCGCGCCAGGCCGCGCGGGCCGCGCTGCACCCGGCCGCCCCGCACGAACGCCGCGAACTCGTGCTGCGTCACGCTCGGCGGTACGTTCCGGCTGCCGTACACCGCCAGGCTGGCCGACCACGGCGCCGTCAGGTTCAGGTTCACCAGCTGCCGGCGCGGGGCGGGGTCAGCGGGTCGGCCGGCGGCGGGGCAGAGGCCCGGGTCAGCAGGCACCGGAGGGGGCAGAGGCGGGGGTCACAACGAACCAGCGGCCGGACAGTGCACAGAGTGGAGGAGGCGCGCAGTCCGCACAACGGGTGGGAGCGCCTGTTCTGAGGCATGCAGGTCTTGGATAACCTTATCGCGCTGTTCCATGAGCCGGTGCGGTATCCGGTTGAGCCAGATGCTGCCCCGGACCAACGCACGACACGAGGCTGACGTTATCGGTATGGCAAGATGATTGGACATCCACTCATATGACTCCCATCCTAAGCATGACACAACAATGGTAATTAAACTTTTTCAATGAAAGTCAATGTTTGCAGCAAGTCATGATGCTCCACAAATTTCAACAGCTGCACGCAGTGAGTCATTTGTAAAGCATGGTAACATTTTTCAAACCCATTCAAAGACATGATAAAACTGCCACGAACACCAGCGGGGAAGGCACCCAAGTGATGGCAGCAACTCGCATGCAGTGCAGACAGTTGCGAAGTCAACGCAGGCCGCGCGTGCCTGCCGTGACTCTGAGTCGTTATGTGCGTGCAATCCTATAACTCGGCATTTGACGCGGGCTTGGGAATGCCAACGCAGTGAAACGTCCCCACGCAACACTTGAGAGTACTTTCCAATGCCTTGGCACTCCAATTGTTCGCAGACGTGCCGCGAAGTCGCTTCCGAGCGTGCCGTGACGAGGGGCGTTTTTGCCGCTGACCCGACCCGGCCATTAATTGGCGGTCCAACCAGGCGGGACCGAGCGCCATATGGACGCCAGAGGTGCGAGGACTGACGCCCGCCAGGCACGACCGGAGGACGGAGGCGCCGGTCACCCAGACTCGGCAGTCGACGGAGAGCCACGCGCGCGGCCGAGCGGGGCCGAGACGCCTGACCCGACTGACGACACTGTCGTTCCTCGCTGACTGCAGACACCGTCATCGACACTGACTCAGGGCCAGGCCCCTCAGCCCTCGGTCTGGACGACCAGCGGACCGCAGACGGAGGGAGCGCGCGGCCGGGTGACTGAAGACCAGCCAGGCGTCCTGCGGCGCCGCCAGCGTCCCTGGACCGCGCTGCTCGCCGACCGAGCGGCCGTCGCCGGGCCGCCGTGCTTCCGCCCTCCGCCCCTGACGGCGGTGGGCGGTGCGCCATTTAAACGCGCTTAATGAATGGCTCGGGGGCACGCGGCGAGCGCCGGGTCACGTGCCGGCCTACCTGCGGCTGGATGGTGTCGTGCTCGAGGGTCCACAGCTCGCGCGGCGCCACCCGGTGCGCCACGGGCGCGCCCAGGGTCAGACTGGCGGGGGGCGGCGGCGGCGGCGGCGTGCGAGGCGGAGGGGCCGCTGCCCCAGGAGGCGGCGGACGGGCTGGGTCGGCTGCAACGGAACGACGCTGTCAGAGCTCGGCTTCGGACTCCCGCGGACCCGCTGCGGGTGAGGAGTGAAGAGCGCCGATCATGTCCAAAGAACACGCTGTCAAGCCGTAAACAAATGGGCAAGTAAGGGTTGTGATTGTTAGGGTTTCGAAGAGCTTGCTGGATGCTGGTGTGCGACCTTCTTCAAGGTCTCCATGGTGGTGGTTGACCTGCATAAAGTATAGAGTGATAGACAGTTGCAATGGGGACAGGGGGTCAGCGGACGTTTCGGCCTAACGTCCCTCCAGTGATGTCAGCAAGGAAAGGGGCTTGTGGTCGAAGCGTTTGCGGATCCCTCTGATCTGATTTGAGCTACTTGTCGCTCTACACGGCATACAGACCAATATCCAACACTAAATAAGACCTTTTAAAAAATTGGTTTGGTGGCAAGATATATGAGTTGTGTATACGTGCACCCTGGCAATAGCCCGTTTCAACCGGGCAGTGTACAGGCAGTTTTAGTCCGCCCAACGCTGGAGCAGGTCAAGTCCTTCGACCACGGGTGAGGGCAATCAAAATGGATTGGTCATTTCGGAAAAGTAAAACGTTGCATGCAAGGGGAAAGGCAAGAACGAACTTCTGACGATGACAGCAAAGGGGCGTCATAAACCCTTTTATTGCCCAAAATACAGTAGTCTTCAGCGAGTGGGTCGTAACTGATGCATGCAACGTACCGGGACTCATAACCAAACCTTCCACGCTGCCAGCTTCTGGGAAACAAACGCCAGCACCGGCATGCAATAGAGTCGGCACGGGAGGCCGTAACGCCGGCCTCAGGACTCCGCGGAACCCGGGCTGTGCGCGTCATTCTGAGCGGGCAGCAGCCGCGGCGGCCGGCCAAAGCCGGCGGTAACGTCCCAGCGTTCGGGCCGGCCCCATTTGCATGATATACCGCCGGGCCTCGGACTCGAGGCAGCTGGTGCATCGAAATGCACTGAGCCGGTCGATGGCGTCGGTAGAGCCGTCTCGGAGAGCCCGGCGACGGCGCGCCACCGCCGGGATCAAGCCATACGGGGCTAATCGGGCGGCGGCGGTGACCAAGACGGATCGCCGACGGCCGGACGGCCGGGGCGCCGGCCGGAGCCGGACGGGCCGCCGCTCCGTCACGCCGCCTGAGGGCGGGTCAGACCCCTCCCACCACCCCCACCGCGCCCGCCTGCCCGCCGTCGAGACGGAGTGGCGCGCCGCTGCCGGGGATTAGAGTCAGTGAGAGGGAAGGTCACGGTAGGGGGGGGGGGGGGGTTGGAGGAATTTCAGGTCGTGAGCTCGCGACTGGTTTTCTCGAGAATTGGACTGGTGCAAGTGATCGAGAAAAGTCGAGGGAAGAAATCGAGAACAAGCATGTTTGTGTTCGCGTTGGGAGTCCCAGCACGAATGGCCAGTAAATCTCGACCGGTACGAAACCGGTAGACTGGTCTGGCCTGTCTCTTCTGAAAGCAATATCCTGCAGAAGTCAGTGTTTGCAAGGACACGGTATGTTCTGTGTTGCGTTGCACACAGGTAATAAAGGCTAGCAAACTGCACACGGCGTGAAATGTTGCCATGTTGCAGACGAACATTTCAATTTTCCGAGTTATGGGCGTCGCTGTTTAATGTTGTCGAAATACGTGCGCACGGTTTAACATTTCGAGCCGTACTCGACTTGCTTAATGCGGCCGACCGTGCACCTGCTCAGAGGTGAGTGCTGTTGTGCCGCAGGCAAGCAACTATCGTCGAGCCTTGCGGAACCACTCCATGGAGGGGCGGGCCAAGTTCCATCATACATCCCATCTGCTGACAGTACATCGATCGTCAGAGCATCAGCCGTCGGCTGTGCGGCCTCGTCCAACCCCCCCCCCCCCCCTCCCTCCCAGCGGCCGATGCAGTCTTCAGAGGCGTGGCCCAAGCGGCGTCGTCTCCAACACTGTCGCGTCCTCGTCTCAGAGGTCGCTGCGGCATCGACCTTGTAGGAAGTCGAGAAGACCCTGAAGGCTGAAATGGTTATTGGTGCCTTGCATACAGCCGGGGGCAGTAAGTAAGCGAGCGGACCCCACTTCGGCGTGGGAACGGCGGTGGCGGTGTTGGACATGAACCGTCTGACCTCCACTTTTGGACATGAACCACCTACCTTACCAACGTTGTGAAAGTTTATCATGAACCCCCTAGCACATGATAAAACAGGGGTGTCGGTTCGCATTTTTTGTGGGAGCACTACCCCCTCCCCGCCCTCCACCCACACTCTTCCCTCAAATGTTGTTTTTCTCCCCCATGTTGGCTTGCCCCATCTCAATATTTTTGGCTACAATAGTACAAAATCATGAAAAAGATCAATATCACAACAGTGGCTGTTCCCTTTTGGCATTGTTTGGTGATCATGACCACTAGCTGCGGAAATAAATGGCCAGTTCAGAGGAAGTACAATTAAAGTCTCATCGTTCGTGAAAACAAAGTGGGCTTGATCGGATGAGAAACATATCTTTTGGGAATGACGTGTCCGGCTCGGCCCTCCAATTATTCGCAAGAATTGATCTCTCTGTGACAAACCCATTTTTACGAAATGCTTGCGCCTATTTTTGTGATGATTCCACGTCATCCTCGGGCCCTGGGCTTGTCTGACTCCCAAAATGTAGCTACCAGATCCAGTGCCGCACCTGGCGCACTGCGTGATCCAACCACACATCCACTCAAATATCCACTTAACCATCGTGCCAACAGGCGGCGGCATCCGAGCACCCCATCCCGGCCCACTCGGCACACTCTCGCTCTCTCGTGACGTACAGGCGCAGGCGCGCACGCACACGTCTTCCGCTGTCTAATTCTGCGACGGCCGGAAGACAAAGGGGAGTGGTAGCGGCCGGCGGCCATTGCAGCCGCCGACGGACGGCGCGGCCGGGCGACTATTCCGGGCGCCGGACGAGACTCGCGGCGGCTAATTTACGGCCGGGGCGCGTGCGACCGGCGGCGGACAATGCTGCTAAGCTGGCACGGCTGCTGGTGACGTCCCCCGCTGCAGCTGGCGGCGGCGGCGCCCCGAGCCACCCGGCTGTCGGCGCGAGACCCGCCCCCGGCGCCAAACAAAACACGGCGGCGTGTTCACCGCCGCTCGGCGGCACTTTTTACGCGGCGGTGGTGTTGAGGCGCTATTGTGCACGAGCTGGCCGCCAGGGACCACCTGTTGGACTCGTCTGTTTGACGAGACCAAGCAGCGTCAAAGCATGCTCACTGTGCGCATTATAGATGTTTGATGTAGGTGATGTGCGATGTCAGTCCCACGAAACGCGGTTAAAGTAACCACAAGAATGCACTCTGGATCCACATGCGTGTTATTATACGAATTTGTCTTCAAAGGAATGTTTTAACTTTGGAGAAATCGGAAAGATGCTATCTGTGATCGGAGTTCCCTGGCAGCACTCTCAGTGTCTGTCACCATCAAGTACAGATAACCCCAAGTGATTCCACACTGCGACCCACATGTCTCGTGAAGATGCGCTTCCTAGGCAGTCGGCGTCTTTTAGGTTCTACGGGCATTTGTTTTAATGTTTTAATCATGTTTTAAGGATAGTTTGTGAAGAGGGTTAAGGGAGCGATTTATCATGGTTTAAGTGGGCGCCTTCATGAAAGGAAGCCCGGAAGACTAGGAGTACACCGTGAAGTTTAAGTTGGCGTACGTGACAGGCCGACGTGTCATCAAGACTGTGGGTCAAATCGAGGTGTTTGGGGCGCCTTGCACCAAGAGCGAAGTGTGGAATGAATTGGCTAAGCGTGGCATGCGACTTACTTTGAGGTGTGAATGTTAGTGCAGGTGAATAACAACGAATGCAGCACTAATGCTTTAATGTTGAAATTTGGAGCATCGATGAAATTCAAAAACACTTAAATCGTAAGGTATTTCCGAAAAAAAACAACTACGCCATGTTTCTCTCCGTAACGCTATGCGCTTTGGCAGTGATGGTGTACACACAAATCGTGAGCTTATGCTCTGCATTACGCTTATAAGAAATATTTATTCTTCAATGGACGCAAAGCAACGTCGTCACATCCCCTTTATGGGGCGCCAGCGCCTGTACAGGAGTATAAGCGCTCAGGGCTCATGGCGCAACCGGGTTTCGAACCCGGGCCATGTGGAATTACGACGCGCTAACCACTCGGCCATCACGCCCCCAGGCATTTCGCTTAGTCCATGATGGCCATTAATGATGCATAATACGATGATAGTGATAACGCACGTGGCCGTTTTGTGCATCATCATCGCTGATGAGAGCATTTCACAAATAAGTCTTCAGTCAAATGGGCCGAAAGCTAACTGCACGCACTGTATGGAGATAGTCTTTTGATAAGTCTTGGTAAGAACGTCACTATACAGATCATTCTGGGCTACAATCTAGTCATCTTATTTATAAACGCCTTACAAGGTGGAAACACTCCTTTTGAGTTGTCGACATTTCATATCGAAGTGAATCATGCATGATATAACACTCAAGAATATATTGTTTTCGCCGCTTCAGCGCCTCAGCGGAAACGACCGTCTTCCGCGAGCTAACAGAGCATCGATGGGAGATGTGCCCACGCGGCGTCGGTTCGATGCGCACGGTTTGTTTCAGCCTTGGTCGACGTCTGACACTCGCCCAGTTAACGACTGGTCCCCGGCCGAGCCGAACGAGGCTGGTGCATTTAGGAAACCAACACCACCCTACAGGAAGTCACGCGACAATGTGTTGACGCATAATGGACTACAGCTGGCTATAAGACACGACGCAAGATGGACACGGTTACCTCTTCCCATGAATAGCACGAAACTAATGGTCACTTCACGGCACGCGCCGTGCGCTAACGTCTCTCACGTGCCGTAGCGCGCCCGGAGAGCCGCCGCGGCGGTGTCTCCACGAGTATATGCTGCACGGCGCTCTGCCGTCCTGCGCACCACCCCGCCCATCGTTCCAGGGTGAACTCCACTCAGGACCCGAGCCCGTCCTCACTCGATCGGCCGACCAGCATGAAGGCGGCGGCGCGCCGCCACCCGAGCGCTGTTCAGCCGCGGCGGCAACAAAGCCGGCAGCTTCCGGCGCCGGAGGACGACGCGCGCGTCGACGGCCGGGAAATAACGCGCGCCGCGGGCGGAAATTACGCGCGAACCGCGGAAATGGCGCGGCATCTCACCGTTCGAGATAGGGAGGTAAGGCGGGGCGGGGGACACCCCGCGGCGACTTGAGGCGGCCGGGCTGGGGTGGGCGTGGGATGGCTTACCCAGACACGGGTCAGGGATGACCGGGGTCACTTCGAATGGTGTCAACTCATCCCAGAACACCAGGCGCCGGCCTATCGCTTGATGGAGCGGATTACCATTGCTCGATGAGCCGGAGAGTTTTGAAGATGATGTAGCAGACAAGATTACGGTGTCTTCCCATAGAGCACCACTGACGAACATGGATACCGCTGTTAGCAACAAAACGCTCTCAACTGGATTTCCAGAGTGCATTATCCAGCATCGCACCAGTGTTCCCGCTATCTACGTGCTGCATCGCGGCACACCTGGTTACCCGGACGTTGCCGACCGTCGCCTGCCCTTGGGCTCTATCCGAGTGTCTGATGGCTCCCCAGGGCGCTATAGGACGAGAGACATCACGCCTCTGGGACCGCGCTGTGTCGGCCAACCCCCCCCCCCCCGCCCCTCTCCCCCTCTACACATACGCACGCCGCGTCTGGGGTACACCCTCGCCACCTGGCTTCAGAGGCCTGGCACGCGGTAGTTTGACCTTAGTCCCATTTTGAGGCCAGTCTTTTGTGTATCGATAACTTAGCAATGTGAAGGATCACGCCAGGTCAGCAGATACATGTTCGCTCTACAGGTGGATGGGTTTCCTCTTCGATCTTTTTTTTCTGGAGAAAAACCATTTCAACTTATCTGGACTCGCCCTTTCCAGACTTGACCACCCGATCCATGAATATGTGTATGGCATGAGGTATCACAGAACCATCACGCTAATCAGGACAGGCTGCCCGGGTCAGGACGGTCAGGGCTTCACCATGCTGTCGGTAGCGTCCACCAGCTCTGCATAGGAAGCCTGGCGCCACCCCAACCCACGAGTGCGCTGCTTCCTTAGCAAATCTTCGTTAACTGCGGGATTGCGTGCTTGCAAAAGTGAATGTCAAAACCGCGACAGTGTCCCGTGCCAGGAATGTGAGGCTCAATGACGGGAACGACGAAACCTACCGACCCATAGCGCGTTGCACACTATGGCATGTTAAAAATTGCATATGCACCCTGGTACAAAGTGATCCACTTGCTGTTAGGGATAGGGACTGTTGTTTCAACTCTGCTGCATATATTTGTAACCCACAACGCGCCGCGTCTCCCTGTGAGTCCGAAGACCACGGAGGCGGCGCCGGCGCTGTCGTGGCTCCGCCGCACGCCAATCCTTTCCGGCAGTTGGCTCGGAGCGTACAATTGCATCTCCTCCGACAGCCAATCGGCCTGCTCTGGCGGCTTTCTCTTTTGCTCGCACAGGAAACGGCGCGTTCGGCCAGGGACTTCTGATGAGCAGCTGCCACAGTTCTCTTCGAAGGCTGTGTTGGTAGGGCCGTCTCACCACTACCAGTACGTCCGAATGAACAGACTGACCCCTGTCGAGACTTAGAGGGGGATTCGACCGCGAACTTTAGCGCGGTCCACAAACCAGTGCTTGTACCCGTGAACTAGGCCGTATAAGATAGATTAAACCGTCCCGTCATTCTCGCTTCGTTTTCGCCCTAAGTTAGCGTGACGTCACTGGTGTCGAGACTTCAAGGCATGGTGCGCGGCTAGACTCCGAACGTAATGCTGAGGAGCGACTGGAGCATCAAAATACTCGTACGAAAATGGAAAAGTCGTTAGCGGAAGATGTATATGACCGGCGAGCCGATTACGTAGAATTGTGTGACAAATATGATGATGTGCTTTGCAAGCATTTTCGGCAAACTATTAAAATGTAATGGGATGAAAGCGAAGACGTAGACAAGAGGCTTATTCGCTACAGGGCGGCAGGAACATCGGGTTGCCTTAATACTGATATAAGTAAACTGCTGGTATCAGATGTATATGACCAGCGAGCCAACAGCGTGTAATTTCGCGACGAGTATGGTAACGTATGAAAACCACAACTATGACAAAGTCCATGATCAGTATCCTTCTGCTCGCAACCACCAACGCGGGCAACCCCGCGCGCGGTATATAACGCCCTAAACCCCTCGTTGCATTTCCGGTGACCTGCTGGGGTCGCCGGCCTCTGGGACTGACCTGGGAGGGTGCTGGCTTCCACATGTCTCGTGCTGTCCGGGGCCATCACCACCGCGTCCTCGACGTAGACGCACTGGGACCGCTCCGCGCTGCCGGCACTGCCACCGGTCGCTGAAACCGTATATAGACGCTGCAGGCGAGCGACGAGCTCCAGCAGTGCATGACCTCCGTTAGCACGGAGGACGCCAGGGACACATTTCCCCGACATTTCCGATATTTAACATAAAGAATGTGCCGTTGCATGGAAAGCAAGGTCGTGTGAGAGCATCCTTGCTCCCAACCTTAGGTCACTTTAATCTGAAACGAAGGGCCGCGTGGGAAGGGTGCTTGCAGTACCTGGAGTGCTCATCTCATGCAGACAATTAGCTCTTGAAAAAGAAAGACTAGCTTGTGTCAGCCGTATCCGTCTGTTCCAATTACCGCCGTCAACGCCACTCCGCCACCTCCAAGGAATCATCGGCGTGAAAAGGATTCCGGTTAATATGGAAGAAAATTTCAGCTGTCAACTATGAGGGTCAATCAAGTTCCCGGGTTCTCTCCACAGCTGCCTGGTGAAAAGGGAGATGTTCCACTATCCGTCAAACTGGATGGCACAGCTTGGTTATCGCGTTCATCCTGTTCGCAACAGGCCATGTTTCTTCTTGTCCCTTCTTGTTTCTTCTTGTCCCATGTACCCTGAACGCAGTCACCAATGCAAATCATTGGGAATACATTTATTTGTTCAGCTCTAAAAATAGTTATACCCCCACGCACTTAACGCGTTTTGAGCAATGCGTCTCCGTGGGGTGTGATGGACTCAGCGATATGGCCGTCGAACCAAACGTTCAGCCAGCCGTCGTCCGTGACATTCTACCATCCACCGAAGGTCTCTGCCAAAGCTGAACTGGGCGGAAACTGTCATCATCTGACATCGGTTCAGTCGGTGTGGTACATCCGGCTGAAGTCAGCCATGGACAGACAAGGCTCGAGAGGCCCGTGTGGGTGGAGTCGGAGGAGAGGTCACTGTGTCATCAGATCGGTGACGCGACCCTGCTCCGCGCGACTTAAACATGCGGAGATCCGGGACAAAATACAGAAAAGGGCTGCACGCGGACCTCATTTTCTTCTAAGCCTAGAGCAGCACAAGATTGCCAGCAGCAAGAATGCCTCAGTGTAGTTATTTTGACTGAGCCTTAAAGATCAAACAGCTGCGGTGAGCTCCCATTGGACGCTCGTACAGCATTTCCAGTATTGAGTTGCCTACAGACTGAACACCCATTAGACGCTCGTACAGCATTTCCAGTATTGAGTTGCCTACAGACTGAACAGACTCCTTAATCGTCAGAGACAGCTCTGTCAGTCACACGCACGCATACACGCACGCAAACACGCACGCACGCACGCATGCAGCTTGCCGTTTGCCCGGCCGAACGCCACAATTCCTCAGTCCCCAGCACCGAGCTCTTGAAGGGCTGACATCCTGCGTGTTGAAGATAAGAGTAGGAACTCGATTCAGAAATTCCAGATGAATCAAGAGCATCTGCAGACGCTTTAAAGGAACACTCATTCAGTCGAGGCTGTGGTTGCGACGCGCTCGACATAGTCCGGCGCGTCAAGGGACTGAAACATCTGATGTTCTCTGTAACTTCCGCTCAAACCGGCGGCAAATTTTACACACTATGCCGCATAGCACTGAAGGATTCAACTCGGTATGATGCTCACAATCTTGCTTTTTCTACAATCAGGAGGAACTTTGCATTGCAAGACGTTTTTCAAATACAAGAAGACCACTAAAAGCAGAAGCATTGCTACTTTTGCGCCTTGGCTGCAGCCGTGCACTGCGCTGATATGGGGTCAACGGCTTTGGTCAGAGGGCGCTTCTGAGTCAGGGACCGGTGTCTGACGCCCCCCGCCCCCCCCCCCCCTCCCTGAGGGCCTCCGGATCGACCAATGGGCCCCGGCTCCGTGTTGCCAGAATGTTAGCCGGTAGGCCTCCGAGCTGGGACGGAATGGCCCCTGACTCTGACCCTGACCGAGGAAGGCGACGAGCCATCTAGTGCTCTGCCCACGTGGCTCCTGCCCGCAGTGGAGTAAGGGGCCTCCCAAGTGCTTAATCCACGGGCCTCTCAGTGCCCGCGCCTGTTGGCATGACCGGGCAAGAGAAAAAAACGAGGAAATCGGGTGCTCTCGAAATAATAAGTAGGCTAAACCGGCGATGTTTTCCTTCGCTGGAGGGCTTTTCGCCGGGAACTCCCTGCCAAGCTCTGCATCCTCTCCCTTATCACGGCCCTGACTGCGCCCCTGGCAACCTGTTGCCATGGCAACTATTTGAGCGCGCTCAGCAATGTCAACAGACGGCACATCTGACCCATTCCTCAGCCCGCGACGCAAAAGCCACGATCAGCTTCTGTCTGGCTGTTTGCGTAGGGTAAATGGCTATATGGAATATCAATAGTCGCTTGTCGGTTTCTGCCAGCACGTGCAACGATGATAGGATACCCAGACAGCGATGTAATAACAGACATCAGCAGCTAATAATGGTATATTGACAGACGTTCGGTATAACTGCAGCTTGTAAAGAAGTAACAGCTCCCTTGATGCGTTACATGCAACAAGATTGACACAAATACACATTTTTACGAGCCTTGAGACGGTGATCTGCTGATAAATTGACTTACAGCAAACCGTTGCTTTACATCATCTCAGCCGTTTGCAGACATACAAAGGTCGGCGAAAAGTGTGTTCTTTCATAGCTGTTGTACCAGTGCTCTTAATTTAGGGCTACACGGGGACGCTAGGTTACTTGTGGCGTTGGGCATCGGATGGTGAGTCGATAGTTGTCAGGTACCTTGCAACAGTATGTGTGATAATTTACCAGACTGCAGGCAAGCATCTTTCATGCCAGACTAGTGACGAGAGGTAGCAAAACCTCTGGCATGACTACAAAAATGTCTGTCAGCCAATTATTGAGCAGGGTGGAGACATATTATTGCACTTAGTTTCCACGTGTAAGTATACTCCTTCCGAGTGTGGCTCAAAATACAAGAAAAAGACGTGAGGGAATCTGACTTTTAACTACTGGAGACATAATTTTAAGTATTCACATCTATCCCTGAGATATTGATACCCACACAATTTGTAACCTGGCTTGGAAACCGAAGACGCCATTTAATCTTCACCTCGTACGAGCGCAATGTAATGACTTCGCAGTCGGCGCTTTAAATTATCCACATCTTGATTTCGACCTTGTTGACGAAAAATGACGGTGTCTCCCGCCAAAGAGTGTCCTTTTTCGGAGCCGCGCAGGCTCATGCACCCTTCCGCTGCACAAAAATTGCCCATAAAAAGCAGCCTATCAGGCAAAACTTTGCAAGTCCAACGGATGTCGGCTTGGTGACTTTTAAACGAATTCCTCAAGATTCTGGACGCATTCTTGATCTTGAACGCCTCGAAATGTCCTTGATCGATCCGTTCCCGTTCGATCTGATCCAAACCACTTTACATGGTGACAGTGTACTGAGAGAAAGAAAAACAAGGTATGGCAGAAGCCACTTTGACTCGTGTGTTTTGGTTTGCTTTGTCAATGTTCTCTACATTAGTATCACGTGCAAAATGTCCACTCACTTCCGATGCGGCGCCCCATGTGTACCTAGTCTGTTACAAATGGCCTCAACCCATGCTCTTTTTCCGGCGACGGTCAGCCAGCAAATACGCACTTAAGATCGCATCTATTATATACCCTACGTTGCAGGTTGTCTAATGTGATTTCCTTGCAGCGCAGGTGATTCAGATCTGAACGAAGGAGCTAGTAGAAGGATGCGTTTACCTCACGAAAAGTCGCAGGCTCAATGGCCGTGCCACATAATAGGCCAAACATCGTGAAACATGATAATTACTTAACCTGAAGGCTGTAGTTCGAGTGAGATGTCGATAAGTCAAACATTATGAGTTTGGTCAGGGCTGTCTTTGTTTTTTTTAAATGTTCATGACATAACACAAAGATGTTCTGAATGATCAGCTTTTTGGACGTCGCAGGCCGATGCAAGAAGGACATCAGCTTGGTATATCTGAAGTATCGCGACTATCCAGGATATCGCGGCTAACAATACTCACCTAAGAAAGACACATAACGTCTGTGATCTAACACAATCGGATGAGGCTTTGGCTTTCTCAATTCGTTCACGGAAAAACGTACCCGAATTTGGCAAATAATCCGCCAAGGCAATGCTGGAAGCCCCGTCGGTCCATTGGTACACAAGCCATGCGAGCAGCCCCATGCTTAAGTCGCCCATCCCCGTACATCTGTCGGAGCGAGCCAGTTAATGGCGGACCGTGCGCAGAGAGGGAGGAGGGAGGGCGGAGGGTTGTTTACACGGCAGGCGGCTCTGCTCAATAGCCCACGCCGACCGTGTTTGAAGACGGAACCGGAGCCGAGCCTGAAGGACTCTTACCGGTCCCCGGAGCCGGCGTCACCGGTCTCCGGAGCCGGCGCCAGCCAATGCTCGCTCCCCGCGCCGCCGACTACCAAATTAAACGGCTATAGGGACCAAGTGTTCCGCTGAGATTACACCGGCAATAATTAGCGAAGTTCGGGAATGACGCCGAAGCGCTTTCTCAGAGCGGACGTATTTCGTCTGAAGCACCTCCTTCACGATAAATTACTTTCTGTCGGGAACTGCTTGGGAGGCAGCTGTGTTGCATGAGCCCAGACACTTCAATTCTATGTCACACAAACATACACCCGCGCAATGCACCTCGCTGAACGGTGTGGCGCATATCATTATACCAGTCCGAAGTGCAGCCCGGCTCATTCGGAGCCTTTTTATTACAAGGAACGTAGCGTAGGGTAGTCAAAAATCTGAGAATTGTTGGCTGCGCGTCCTCCATGCATTCGTCATAGTAGTTATGAGGTAGATAATGAATGTAAAGGATTGTAAACGCTAACAGCTTTAGTGCTCTTAACACGCAATGCATGTACAAAACGACGTTGTGGGGAAATGACATGACCTACCCCTCGGTCTTTGATTCGATCCAAATTTGATCCAAACACCGGCATTGGTATTTGCTCATGGTTGAACTGTAGCATGGAACGTAACATGCACAGATACATTTGCCACGCAGCCAGAACATGCAAGAAACGATTAAGCTCCCAGGTGGCGGACGTTTCGAAAAGCGATCATGCGCATTGTGACTCGAAATCTGACTTGCGGGGATAAAGATGAGTCATTTGAAGCTTGCTGGTGCCTTTTTAATTTTCCGAAACTTCATGAACTACGACTTCGTTTCCACGTCGTTACTGCGCGCTTTAAGACATACTACTTTAGGGTCGACCGACCTCACGAAGACCACCTTTCAAGTTGTCACCACATTCGCTTCATTTCAGCCGCAGGCGATTTACGCCCTATCGCAAAAACACGCCCGTGGGCCGATGATGGGTGCCGTACCTGCGAAGTAGGCCATGAGCGCCAGCAGGAGGAGACAGAGCAGCGCCAGGCAGCCGGTGGCCAGCCGCCAGCTGCAGCGGTAGCGGCACTCCTCCTTCAGCTGGTTGCGCTCGGGCGAGTAGGCCGGCGGCGCCACGTGGTGGCACAGGTTGTTGCGCACCGGGTAAACGGGCATGACGAGCGGCATGACGGTGTCACTGGCGCCGCCCTTCTGCCCGTCCATCACCAGCCTGTGGGCGAGGGGGGGGGGTTTCAACACAACACCGGGGCTCAAGCAGGCCTCGGTCACCGGCGTCCGACAGAGAGGGGAGGGGGAGGGGTGCTCAGGCAGGCGTCGGTCACTGGCGTCCGACGGAGAGGGGGGGGGGGGGGCGCTCGGGCGGGCATCGGTCACCGGCGTCCGACGTGCCCTTGGGTGGGGTGAAAGTGGGGAATGTGTGTGTATGGGGGGGGGGGGGGGGCAAAAAGAACATCCAGCTCTGCATGGGCACGTCTTTACTCGGACTGGAGACAGGACATGCGTGCTCGTGGCTAAGATGGTGCCTTTCCATCATCACGAGACATTACGGCAGCCATGTATCTACCATGTGTTCCGGGAATGGCGCTCAATCAAATCTGTGGGCAACCTTCTAAAATTGATATAATTAAATCACGTCGGACCATTCAGTGGGCTATTTGGGAGGCAACGATGAACTTTGTACTTAAGCAAAACATCGCACATGACAACGGCTAATATATTACGAAGTGGTGGTTTGACCTCATCGGAGAAATACGAGTTATGCCTCTGAGAAGTTAGGTCATTTCCTCAAGGTGCACAAGACATCTTTAGTTTTGTTATGCATTTGTCCTTTTCAGCCGTAGTATTTATGTGACCGTTTGGTTTCAGTCATGAAGTCGATGGAAGAAAAGAGGGACTTTCAGCATGATGGATGCACCCTCTGTCACACCCGTAGCGGTGGGTTTAATGGTACAGGAGGGTGCAACACTGCTAACATTTCCGTCATTAAATACTTCCTGGAGGCGAAAACGCTTTTGAAAAATAGTTTCTCACTCGGCTAAAGAAACCCCGGACACATTTTTTATGGTCTGATCCTTGGAATCCTAACTAAAATGTCTGTCCGGAAGCCGGCAGACTACAACGCGTCACGCGACAGCCATTTGTGTGTTCCGATTTCAGCTAGAGCGCGGAGCATCCCATTTTATATTTGCATTCGAAGTGGGTGCGCGATTTATGTGGCGTAAGACTGATGCAGCGCCAGCATCCTTAACGCGTCCAGCCTTAGAAAACGCGGCAATGCTGCGTAACAAGGATAATATCAGAGCAATTTACGTCAATGGTGGCGATGATTGCATTTGCTGGTCTGAAAACGTGCCAAGCCGCAGCTCATTTTCGCCGTTTTTGTTCGGCTCAGGCTGCCAGCAAGCTGGATGCTAGAAATAAGATCCAGCAAGCAAAACACAAGGGAGAGAAAGAGAGAGAGAGAGAGGGGGGGGGGGGAGAGAGAGAAAGAGAGAGGGGAGAGAGAGAAAAAGAAAGTTGGTGTGTGTGTGTGTGTGTGTGTGTGTGTGTGTGTGTGTGTGTGTGTGTGTGTGTGTGTGTGTGTGTGTGTGTGTGTGTGTGTGTGTGTGTGTGTGTGTGTGTGTGTGTGTGTGTGTGTGTGTGTGTGTGTGTGTGTGTGTGTGTGTGTGTGTGTGTGTGTGTGTCAACGTTCTTACTACACAGCGCACACGATAATTTGATGTGCACCTCAGGTATCAGGCGAAGCAAAGTATCAGGTTCATATAATTGCTGGACAGGCGGATCCGGCGCGTGGCATTGCCAAACGGGATGTCACCGCTGCGACGAGCAAGACAAACGGAGCTGATCAGGTGTCGGATGCCTGCAGCAGCACGGGCTGAGCGCAGCTCGCGAGCACCATCATACAACAGTTGTCACGGATATCCCGCTGTAAATAGCAGCAATGCTAGGTCAGCACCATATGACCACGGACAAATCAAGATATTTGTGCTTCCGCCACCCCGTAGCTCCTCATTCGCCAGTATTCATTTACTTGACAAAGCTTAAGATCCAATGACAGCTAGTTAACAGCAATGACAACAGCTTCCATTCCGACAGGAAGTATGGTCAATGTGACATATAGATATCAGTCGGTCTGCGCGTATGGAAGGTCAGAGTTGTTCTCTCATTCAGCTTTCTTGCACCATGGATTTCCATCCACTAAGTTTAAAAATATTTTCGACCAGGAAATACTTTCAAACCAGACCGCTTCTTTCTATATCAGAGCTCATTCAGGGCGTCTTATTTCCCGGTGCGGCCAGCGGCTGTGACATTCCAGGCTGCCATGACGTCACCGGCATTGCCAGCCGGCCCCAACTTAAACCCATTATGCCACGCAATGAACTAAGTCCAAGAAGTGTGATTGATCACCTACCAAAGAGGCGGTGGCTAAATGAGGGACGCATTCAGAACGCGGACGCCGGGTCGACGGCCGGCGGTGGCCCAGACACCGATCTGGTGGGCGCACGAGAGGACGGCGGAGAGGGTGCTGGTCACCGATCTGAGAGATGATTTCCTAAAGAAAGCCTCTTTAGTGGACACTTTGGTGCAAAAGGTGTAACCCTCCATGATTCATGACGGTGATTGTTCATGTTCATGTACCCTGGTTCGGACCATTCTTGGCTACCTTGGACCAAACCTTGGTTCGGACCAGTAATCTGAGGCAGTCGCCGGCGTCAGTGATAACCGTAAGCCAGTCTTATTCACGGAGGGATCCTGGCGAATAGGGTTCTGGCGGTGGTTGCGAATAGGGTCCTGATTCTAATTGTGGTAAAAAGTGTCCTGGGGGTGGTGGTAAATAGCGTCCTGGTCCTGGTGAACTAAACCGGTGTAGCAAGAGTAATAAAGGATATCGGGCCAACTAAAAACGCGTTTCCACTTAATTACGTTATTCTAAACTTTTAACTTTATTTTGTCTGCACTAAATCAAAAGTAGTCCAGAGTTTTTCAGCTCCAACAAATGCCGAGCAGAGGAGGTCTGTTTCAGCTTCACACTTGCATTGAGCTCACGGCACCAAGGTAACAGGGCCCTAGGCCTGGGTATGTCAACCCTCAACCACCCGCAATGTTAGTCGCATGATCTCGCGCGGCCCTTTGCGCGGGCTTCGCTAGGTACCAAGGTACGTACCGATAATGTTGGTTCGTGATATGCAGTCGGGCTGATTACATGTAGGTACGCGTTTATATGAGAAAACATGTAAGTGCGCATCATGAAAGACATGCCGCACATTGCAGCCTTCGGAGAAAAGATGCCACGCCCTCACGATTACGTCATTTAAAAGGTATGTGACACAATACTCGAATTGAAAAGGAAGCAATCTGCACCTTATGGCAGGCCGTCCGCCCGTCGTAAACCGAGCAATCAAACCGCGATACAAATGAAGCAATATTCACCGGGCTGCGCTATCCCGGGAAACAGTTTACAGCCCGCACCGACTAATAAAACCATAAATGAAAAGGTCTGAGACTTCATGAAAACTCGGATGGCCTGATACGGACGGCTTTATACCAGTGCGCCCTGGTCCCAGTCAGGCTATAATTCATACAAACAGATATAAACAGGACCCGCGGGAAATCATGGCAACTTGGAGCAATATGAAACCCCTGAAGGACTCCCTGCAAAAATCAAACCCCAGATCGTTACAAAGTTACTATGCTCCAGTGTACATAGGTAGAATAAGTGATGAACATATGATTTCACAACGACGAGATGAAACTTAAGAATCATGTTTTGCAGTTATTTATCCGCTAGTAAAGCGCTATTTTTTCACGAAGTCTTGAGGTTTGTGATGTTCTAGGACCATTAAGTTTGCGGGTTTCGGTGCCGGCAGCCAGATATTTACACCTTTTTCGTTAGCTCTGAGCGTATGTGTGCTGTTTAGGAGTTCTCCGTACTAAAAAATACATGAACTAAAAATGTTAGGTTCCGAATATCATTGCAGAATTATCCGAAATACTTACCAATGTTCCAGAACATTCAGACAACTTCTCAGAGCTGCGTCCGTGAAAACAAAGTTGCGAGCCATTGTGAAAACGGCAACACATTCGTGGAAGCGGCTGTCAAACTAATGCCAGTGTGTCCCATGCCATCATTGCTAAAAATGACGACCCGCCGCATTTTGCGATTCAAACCCTAGCCCATGTGGACTCGAATTTAGATATGGATTCGAGATTCGCGATTTAGACAGACTGAAATAGGCCATAGGCCATCTTTGCATCGAAATATCGAACTATAATGCAGCGTACTAAAAAGGACGACCATTTAGTCTGACACCGAATTTTACTCATTTTTAATTGTTCTATGTCATTGACCGGAATACATGTGTTAGTATGTTATATGTTAAGTAGCATATATGAACAGTGTTTCTAGAAGTTCGTGTGGTTTGGGGATTCAAATCCTGATGTTCACGGTTCGAATCCTCGCTCTGATGATTCGACGGTACGCAAAATTTGAATATGTTCCAGTCCCGAGAATCTCAGTCCTCAATTATAACCATGGCAGGATGCATGGCTGCAGTTACTGCCAACCGCTATCATTCCAATAAATAAGCGTGTTTAATCGGTGCAGAATTAGGTAGCCGGGCTTCTGTAAATGAAATATGATTTACCGGTGTAGCAAAATTGGCCGCTGCTGTGCTCGCTATCCCACATGACAATTGGTTACATATCTGGGCCCTCCGACGACGATTTTCGTGTGATTCCTCTGTAATTGCTGGAAAAGGTGAAGATCTGCTGACCTTCTTCATGGGGCGCTCGCGACTGCAGCGGCCACATTAGCGTTCAGTCCCCACATGACAACTGGGATTCAAGCCCGGTCCCGACACGTGGCAACCGAAGCCGATAACCCACTCGACCATAACGTCCTCCTGCTCTGGCACACCAGTACATCCTAGATGTCCGCGCCGAGCCATGCAAGCACCAACCATCTTATATGTCAGCGAGCTGAGCCATGTCCAGCTGGGCAGCACCATACCATCCAAAATGGGGTCCGCGACCGAGCCATGTCATCACCAGACCATCCTAAATGTCCGCGAGCTTACCATGTAAGCTGGGCAGCACCAGACCACCTAAGATGTACGCGAGCTGAGCCATGTCAGGCTTGGGCAGCACCCAGAGTCCTCCTAAGATGTCCGCGAGCTGAGCCATGTCAGCTGGGCAGCACCAGACCATCCTAAGATGTCCGCGAGCTGAGCCATGTCAGCTGGGCAGCACCAGACCATCATAGGTTGTTCACGAGCTGAGCCATGTCAGCGTCACGCCTACTGACCTGGTCTGCGCTCCGTTCAGGCTGGCGTAGCTGTCCGGGTCGCTGGGATTGTAGCCGCGCAGGGGCAGGGGGGACGGCCCCCTGTGTGACCTTGGACTTCCTGGCAATCGATACTCTGAAAACAGAATACGAACGATTAGTACGAACAGTGATCAGTGGTTGAAAATTAGTAAACTTAATAAACGCTACACTTTGCACCCACAAGCAACGGTGGTCAGTGATTGCATTATGCATTAGGTGTCTAGAGACCCAACAATTGTAGCACACCAGAACTTGCTCGCTATACAAAACACTGCGGCACACTGTTAGGTGGAGGGGCATGTTCCTTTTTGAAGATGCTGGGGCATATAACCTACTCCGTGGTTCTAAATTCATTTGGTACCATTAATTGCCTTACCCAGGCACGCTCTCTTGAAGCTCAAACAAGATAACGAGCGGGTGTGTTGGCTAAGCCAGTCTTAATGAGCAGTGATTGTAAAAATTGGACGTGATTGGCCCGGCCGGTCGCCACGCTATCCAGACACCAAAATATTTTTAGTCACTTTTCGCAGATTGCAGAAATTTTCAAGAAAAAACGGCGCTCTTTAAATATGCCGCTGCATAACTGAACATAACATAACCGTTAGTTAGGTATGAAGGTCAGATCAAGGCCGAAACAAAACGGTAACTGGAAACCTTGCCTTACGGTGTGGTTTTTACGCTCATTTGCAACTCATAAACCGCAAGGACGCCAACAAACTTCACGAACGTCAGAGAAGGCCATTGACATAGAATGACCCTGATCAACATTTTGCTTTGAGAAACATGCTGCTCTTGGTAGGTTTTGACGAGGGTTTTAAATAAAAAATCGAAATTAATCTCAAATTTGGGGGCGTATTTTGAACTTTGATCGAAAGAAAAGATAAATTATCTGATCTGATATAACCCAAGCTAACCTTTTCCTTAGGTTAAGTATCCAGGTTAGAGCTGGTCGCGTGAGCAAGGCTGGGGACCCTTCAGACACCGATCCCAAATTGTTGGTTTTCGATTTGCTGCCGATTTAATCCGAACATTTCGAATGGATTTCTGGCTTTCAAATGTCGATTTCTGGGATAGAGCTCACGCTGATGCGTGCTTGTAGTGTGAGCCCTGAATCATGTCATCCAATCGTGCCATTCCAGGTCAACGGCAGACTTCGGTAGCGAAAGGTTAACGTGCCGCAATGCACGGCACGTTCCGTCCTGCCCTCTCACGTCACCTGACCTTCAGTGCAGCCGCTGCCACCGGTCACAGGTCCTATCTCTCAAGGGCGAGTTGTGAGCTTGGGAGAGGGATGGATATGTCGGAAGAGAGGACTATCATCTGGCCGACGGAGACTATCCGGCTGAGCTACCGGGATATGCAGTTTTCTTGTCAGTTTAATCGGGACATTACAGTTTGACATTGTTTGACTTTCTTTGGACCACGAAGGTCACGACCTAGAGACCCAGACATGCGGCACAAATGGTTGAACATGGGGCGATACCTATCGTGTGAATTTATTGTTTCTAGCAATGTTAGTTTTGAGATCCCAGGGCGGTCAATCGACCTGCAATCAAGCGCATTGCATCAAAACGGCTACATGGGTGCGTGTTAAGAACAGTCACCCAACAAAAATGGGAGCTTTTTACATGCATGGACTTGTTTACTGAAACTGCAAGGCTTGGCAGGACCTACAGCCTCCCAATTCTCAGGTAATGTGATTTGTGAATGTGATCTTACTGGTCGGAATGGTGTAAAGCGTTGCATAGCTCACGGTTATGGCAACCAAATACGGAACAACACCTACTCCGACGCCCCTGTTTTCAGATTACGACTTGTCACCCTTCACAGTGTAGAAGACCGTTACGAGGGTGTATAATACCATTTGGCTGATTTAAAACACATGCAAGCGGTAACTGTACCTATATTGTTGCAGTATCTCGCCCACGCTGTGACGAGAGTGCCCACAAATCAGCACGGATACACAATTTAAATCCACATAAGTCTGCTAGTAGAAAGTCCAGCATGTATGCACGCGCTCCTGGCTGTCGCCTAAGCATACAGGACGCCTCTGGTGACGACAGTTTAGAGCAGCGTCAAAAGGATCACTCTCCTGTCAACCACATGGCGTTGTACAAAAAATCGTCAAAATTACGATGCCACCTCCACTTTTTAACCTGTAACGGGGCCTCTACAATGCATAAAAGGATGTCTCACGCGATATTTTGCCTTAAAACTGCTCGGTAAATAAATAAGCAAGCCGTAGCCCGCAGAATGCTCTTCCTCTTGACCAAGCCTGTTATGAGTCGGCAGATTAGACCTCCAGCGAATATGTTTTCAGGCTCAGCTCCAGTTAATCATGCCTGAATGCATGACATAACTGTCGAGATCAATGGCAATGTGGCGTTGTAATCACCATTGGCTTTGCAAGGCCCACGTTCACGTGCAATCAAATATGTTTTCGACTGAAAGCATCAACTACATGACAAGCAAACTCTTCATCGTACCAAACAGCGCATAACAGCCAACAGCCTGTAAAACAGGGATGTCCAGGAGTAGTTTCCGGCATGTATGAACGGCTCAATACAGCAGCTACGCCGCCGGCCGGCCGTCCTACGCCTTCGCCGTCCCTGTACCCCAGTTGTTCGAGAGCCGAACATCTGGCCTCCACGTGTCAGGCGAGTGGAACCATGTCCGAGGAGCCAGGCTATGTCAGTCGCCGCTGTCAGTTGAGTAGAAACTTGCCGAGGGAATCATACCCGCACCGGCGGCCGTGTCACCGCCGCGCGTGACATGTTTGAGACCTTCGGAGATCACCGTCGGCTGAGATGGAATCCTTCCACTACGGTAGTGAGGTAACGGTCTGAACTGGAGTCCACCCACTACGATAGTGTGACAACGGCCTGAACTGGAATCCCTCCACTACGATAGTGTGACAACGGTCTGAACTGGAATCCCTCCTCTACGGTAGTGAGGTAACTGGAATCCCTCACTACGATAGTGAGGTAACGGTCTTCACAACAAGTCGATTGAAGCAAAGACCGAGCCCAGAGCCACCTCCGCAAAATATTCGACCATTTAACGCGGGATCTCAGCACTTCCTCTGAGTTTCGACTTCATGTCATCGCGCTTGTTCAACAAATTCTGGAAGGCTTCGCTTGCACTAAGTGATGGTACACTTGATAAGCCATTTGTCTTGACCATCCCAACATTTTTGCGAGAAGACTCGGGGCGCACCTTGTTTCACAAAATTTTGTTCCACAAAATTTTATCGGCGAAATTATATTTGCTTTCAAAAGCATGCCCAGTGTTTCATTTGTGTCCGCACCACTTATCGACGGTTAGCCAGCTTGCTGTTTTGTCTCGAGAAAGCGAGAGGTAGACATTCGGTTCACCTCACGCACACACAACGCCTGAACATCTACGTAACGCTTTAATGAACTGTTCGGAAATGTCGCAGTTTCCACCTGCCATGTGCCCGGTTGTAAGCCCAACGTCACGTGACGAAGCGGCTCCGGAGCGTTTGCAGCAGTCGACGCTGCAGAAGCGGCTGCAGCTGCTGCAGGTGCTCACCTGAGGGGCTGGGCAAGGCGCCGTCCGTGTCCGGCGCGTAGCCGGACTGCAGTCGCTGCAGAGAGCGGACCGCCTGGTGCGAGGAGGGGCCGCGCGAGGGCACCTCTGGCGGCGCAGGCTCCGGCGGCGTGTGCAGACCTGCGGCACCACAGCAAGCGTCACCACAACACACTCAGCTCGACTATACTGACGTGATGGTGCGAGCCCATTTGTTGGTTTATCAGAAAGCTACCGCTGGTATCTGGAAAGTATTGACCAATGCAGCGCCGGCAACACAAACACAATTAACGTTTTCCATTACATCCGTGACGTCACCCGTCATGTTTCCGCCTGAGGGCCTGTCACCGCATTGATTATAACAGCGTCGCTTGCTGCCCCATTGATTTCTTGCCTTTTACGGCATACATGCTGTTCATTTGTGACTTTCCAAGCGAGCTAACTCGGCACTACTATCGTTTTGCTTGCCACGTATTTCAGCCGGGCCCTTGAGCGGACCAGCCCGCCCGAGCTCATTTGCCTGGCTTGCCGTCCCGGTCCCCCGTCGCCTCCCGCTGAGATAGCCGAGAGGCGGCAGGAGCTCGTCATCATTATCTGGCGCCGCTGCCGTCTCAAGTTTGTTAATAAATCATGTCCGCTATTATGATGAGAACCATTTGATACAGACGCTTATGCCATCAGGGGCAATCAGGAGATTGCATGCAAGATTCTGCAATAAATGGAGCGCTCCTCTGCGAATTCTGCTCTATATCAATATTTTAGGGCTCTTTGGAAAACAGCGGAAGGAAGTGAGAAGCTGGAGATAAGACAAGAGAAAGTCACTATGCATGATCGATCTGTGTTCCATAAAGCTGCGGTAAGACAGCGGTAAGTCCATGAGGTCGCATGCGAACCAGGCTGACATAATGCGAGGCTTTGTATTCTCATTAATTCAGAGGCACTGGAGCCGTCGTTTCGAAAATGCACGTAGTGTCGTTTTGACTGCTTAGCTTTGTTTATTTTGTTTCTTCTTGCTCACTGTTTGAGCTTAAAAAGTCAGGGCTAAGTCTGCTTTTTCTTGGCGAGGCAGACAGCGCGGCCTGCGGGCGATGCAGCGATTTGTCCAAAGCAGATTGCTTTTTGAAGTCCCCGTCAAGTTGGGCGTCTCCATTTGAGGAAAAACGGTTCTCTTTCCCTGATCTTTCTGCAGCCTTGATTTAACTTGGCTTATCTTTCTGTAACCATTTTGACTATTTTCTTTGATAGTTTATATTCCACTTGATGTCGTGGCTATTCCTTGAGGGGCCTGTTCTACATTTGTACGCGGTTTTAAACTGAGATAGTCATTTCAAGATTAGTCCCTACAGTTCACAGCCATAGCCTTTTTAAGACTCAAAGTCCTCTTGTTCTGAGCTAGATACAACCAAATTTGTGCATCCAATTTCACGCCGCCAATTTGAAACTGTTCAAGACACACATGACGTCATAGAAGCGTTACGCCTCCACCCAAACCCCCACCGCATTGGCTGTTTTGCGCTCATGATCCATATGCCTACTGAAGTGGTCGGGTTTGCAGTGAATCATCACCAAGTGCCCCAAAAATCGAAGCAGATTGGCGAACAGTTAGATGAGCCTTCGATCGCATGCCACGGTCACCCACCACGTTGTACGATAATCAGCACAAGCAACTTCTCGTTACGATGGGCATGAGGCTGAGAATAAAAAACTTAACAATAGCGCCGCAACTAAAAATTAAAATGCAATTAAGAAGCATGCCATCACGGAAAAATATACAAGATCACCACACGATGGTACGAAAGCAAACAAAGATAACGCACTAATGTAACACGCAAGCATAAACCACCATCTTGTGCCATTTTCCGGCGATTAGAAGCGCCACAAGTGAATCCCGTAGTCCGCTACAGTGGCAACTCTGACACAGCCAGTCTGGCAGCGGCTCCAACGTCAAAGAAACGTTCAATGACGTAAAATAAATGGTGTGGGGAGCATATTTACTAACCCATGACAGTTTGTTATTTAGAATGGTCTTTTTAATTTAAAAGCATTCCAATAGTCACCAATGAGCCTTTCAATCATATATCACATTTGCTTCTATATTTTCAATTGCATAACAGCCGATTTGATACCCGTACTATCCCAGCTTTTTTATATTTAAAGTACTATTTCCTTACTTTTCTACCCCGATTTTTTAAAGAAACCATATCAGCTCACGCATGCTTTCAGCCCAGGGGGGGGGGGTGCCTTTCAAACTCCCCAAGCCCCATTATGTTACAATCCAATAAGATCTCTCCCCATCTCGGTCGGAGCACAGGAAAAAATGTGCAGTAACAAAGCCTTAATTCCGATGCAGTGGATGGCGTCGACCCGTGGCCAGTCCAGTCGTCGACACAAGGGCACAGCTCAGCGAATTTACAGCGATTTATTTCCCTGGGGCTGCTCTAACTCAATTTGCGACACCACTTGAGCCGAGCGCATTTCGGCGAGGGCAGGGGTGGATGGAAGCTTGGAGACCCGTTGCGGTCCCAATAGGAGTGGGTGAGGGAGGGGGAGGGGGAGGGCGGACGGGTGGCGCACTTTCCGAGCCGCATACATCAGGCCTGAGAGGCCGATATAGACGACCAGGGGACCGCGTCGCCACCGAACGACCGCGCGCGCTGGGAACACGGTCCGCCAGTCGTCGATAGCTTTGTGGGAGGGGAGTGCAAATGGCCGCAGGTTTCCAGTTGAGCTGGTGCTGGGTGGAGGTAACTGAGGTAGCTAGTTGGCTTGAAAAAAAAATCTTGAAATGAAGAGCTGAATGCAAGTAAAGCTATGAACAGCCTAATGTCAGCAAATTCATCAGTAGCCCTAGGTAAGTAAAATAATAAGTGGTCTTATATAAGTCATGCACAACATTATAATGCATAACCTCACAGATCATACCAAATCCCCAGGAACGAACATTAAAATGGAAGATCTCACGGATACCAGCAACTGATACGCTTTGTGATGCGAACGAGAATTAACAATAAACAATGCTGCATCAACGTTGAGCTTGGAAGATCACCTGAACGGCGAGCGCACACTTACAAACCAAAACATCCTTCCCGGCGCGTTTCATTCGCCCGTCATCCGGTCCGACGTTAGCTCGCCGTTCCTCAGCGCCCGAGCGCGAGCCTCCACCACCGGCGCGCACCGAGCGGCGCCACTCACCGCTCTGCAGCGCCTCCATCTTGGAGCGCATCTCGCCCTCGGCGTACGTAGTCGTGTCGGAGTTGTTGTCGGACGAGCTGAGCGAGCCGTGCTTGTGGCCGGGCCCGCGGCGCCCGCGCCGCGTCAGCGACTGGTAGATGCCCGACGAGACGGGCTTGGAAGCGTAGTGCAGGTGGTCGGGCCGGACGGCGGCCATCTCGCCGCCGTACGGCGCGCCGCCGCGGCCCGGGTATCCACCTAGCTCGCGACAGCTCAGGTCGCCGGACTTGGCCGGCTGCAGCACGATGGAGGCAGGCTGAACGGCCACGTCCGGTGCTGCGGCGCAGAGGGCGTGCTGTCAGTACGCATCATACGGCCAGAAACTCATCACATGCCGAGGAACTCACCACACGCCGAAGAACTCATCACACGGCCAGGAGCTCATCACACACCAGCGCACTCCTGGCTGCGGATCCCCGCACGGAGGGCAACGGGGCACCTCTGCCAACATCGAGCACCACGTTACGTCTCCGTGATTACGGAACGTATGCATGGCAAAATGGCTTCGCAATACGAGAACTTGTCTCAGAGGCATGATATTTGTTACAGATACGGATAAGTATCATGCTGCGATGCTCGAGCTGAGAACATAGGGCCGGAAATAAGCGGGTGGACCCATGTAGACCAAAGCAGAGAGAGTTTTCAACTTATCAACAATCAGTGACGGCTCTGCGATCAAGCGCGTGGAATCAAATCGGGCTAATTTGGTTACACACGGGATGCTTTCTTTTCCACCCCAGCTCTTAAGTCAAAGCGACATCACGCAGTCACATCTCTGTTACCTGCTGTCCAAGTGCGATCCATACAACAAGTGTCAGTGACCTTATGAGGGTCAATACAAGTAGCTAATAACACACGGTGCTTGTGACCCGCTCCCAGCGTGTTGTTCTTCCGCACTCAATTTCAGAGCTTGTGCTAACCAAGGCGTGCTTTGGCTGGCTTATGGTTTGGCCTGTGAGAACATGCTGGTGAACACGCAGCTTACGCTGCAAACTTTGGTCGCTGTCGGGTAGGGCCGCGCTGCGTCCGGAAGGCACTTATACACGCAAACTAATCATACACCCCGGGAAATGCGTCAAATTCAGCACGAGGACGGTGTTGGGCGGTGGGCAAACGCCTGACTAATAACACAGCGCGCGCGTACACACACACACACACACACACACACACACACACACACACACACACACACACACACACACACACACACACACACACACACACACACACACACACACACACACACACACACATATATATATATATATATATAGATCTCATCTCAACTTATTGATGTCACGTCTTAAACGGTCTGTAAGACAACTATGCTTGTTTATGTTTGCGTGATAGCCCATAACACTGAATTCAAGCCGTTCCCGAAACCGTGACGTACCCTGCCCGGTTAAGAATTGAACGAGGAAGCGAGATATCTTGCATACGAATTCAAACCCTAGCCTTCGAGGACATGACTCGCCACATGGGGTGGTCAAGGTCCAGGGTGTCAAGCACCTTCGACCCTTGACTTCCACCCAAGGGTCGGGTGACTAGGTCATCAACGTTTTGATGACCCCCTAGTCATCGACGCTTGGTGCCGAGCCAACAAGTCTTCCAAACAAGCGAGTCCTTTGGCACCCTGGCCTTAAAAAGGCGTCAGGAACACGGCACCGGCGCGCTGCACTCGGGCGACAGACTGCTGTGCGATGTCTTTGTCGCGTCAGGAAGGTGTTTAAAACGCATCGCGGTCTAACACGCTCAACGGAATTCAAATATTTGTATGAGTGTGGTCACCGTAACGATATGACGCCAGCTTAACTCTGCTTATCACCTGACCCAGGACGCGGACTTCTGTCTGACTCTGAGCATGTCTGCAGCGCATAGTTTTCCTAATGGTCTGGTGCTGAATGGGTTGACCTGCAGCACAGTTACAGCAGGAGAGCATGCCGGTACCAAGCCCGATGAAACTCATACAAGACGAAAACTTTTGAGGCGATTAAGCCTGCGCTCATTAGGCTTAATAAAGAGCTTTGTTACAAGTTTTCAGCGAAGCCCGAGGCCCTATACAAGCTATATAAAAATAATGATACCAAGGGAGTTGAACTGCTGTGGGGAGCTAAAACCGCATAATGCCTGGGGATGCCACTGAGCAAGTCAAAATACCATGTAATTGTATACGGATACCTTCACTGGAGCATTCATTGTGTAATTATTTCCACAATCATTCAGCAACACATATTTGGCGATCCACCGACCAGTATAACCGGATACCTTCATATCAGCCTGCATCTCTTCCCATCTCCCCGCTCTCCCCTCCCCATCGTCCGCTCTCCTCTGTCAGCCACCTGTCAGCGCCTCATCTCCAGTGCTGTTTCTGCCGGTGCCGTATCAGGAGGCGGACCGGCGCGGCGTCGGATGACCTGCCCCACGCCCGCGGCGGCCGGCCCCGTAATCCGGGATTACCGTGACGGGCTCCAGCGCCACCTGCGAGCCGTCCCGACTCCCCGGCGTCCCGGGATGTCCCGGGACGGACGCGGCTCGGGACGCTGCAGAGCCTCTCGGTCCATCGGCTCCCGGGAGGCATCCGAGCGCAGCCCGGTCCCGGCTCTCAGCCGACTTTTGCGACTTATGATCTGACTTATGCGCCGGCGAGCACGACGCGAGAGAAACGGGCGGGGAATGGCGCTCAGAATCCTCGCAGCGGGCTGAAGCTCATTTTAGTAAAAGGAATGGGTGTTTGCAGGACGCTCGAGGATCTTTTGTAAATGGCCTGGGTTGTCATGTGCTGTCAGATAAGAATTTAGCGGTCTGAAATTGTACAGACTTAATACAGCTTGGCGTCAATGAGCACTACGGTTGACGCACCCTTGACATCAAATAACGAACTAACTGACTGAGTGCTACAGCTTAAGTCGAAAATGCTTAAGCTAGATACACGTTAAGGATGTTACAAAAAGATATGAGTCGGTATGTCGTCGCCGCAAATTAGCGCACAATCTCATTTTTAAACACTTGAATCACTTGTAACGGCGGTATGACTTGTGAAGTGATTTGAAAGGGGAAGAATGAACCCAGACGAAATTTCTGTTCACGTTCGTGATCCTGACAAGCTCATATAACAGGATATTTGAACCCCGCTGACCCTGTCACGCCCAGGCTCAAATTCGGGCAGACGAACCGTCCAGTATAGGGAAACGCCACGGAAAGATATGCCTCACATGTGACGTTATCTCCATAATTTCTATCAGACGTGCGAGAATTTCGCGAGCTGATTTGAACGCGTCTGCCTCGACGTCCGGTAGGGGAACAAAGCGACGAGTAATAAAGGGTGGGCCTCAGAAGTGACAGGTCAATTATGCACCAGAATGGGGGGCACCGATAAATAATTCACCCACACCGGATGTGCTCTCCAGAGACATGCTAATGTGATCAGACCAGTTCTTGTTATCTAAGGCGCTAAGCAGAAATAAAAGAGAGAGAGAGAGAGAGAGAGAGAGGAGAGAGAGAGAGAGATAGAGAGAGAGAGAGAGAGAGAGAGAGAGAGAGAGAGAGGAGATAGAGAGGAGAGAGAGAGAGAGAGAGATAGGGATAAAGAAAGAGTTTTGGAAAAGCATCCTGTGCAGTCAAGTGCGCTTCCAGCTCACACAGCTGCAACATAGAAAGAGTGAAACCCGTGCTCATACTGTAATAAGGTCTGAATCGCATTCCCTGACTCAATCAATATAACTAGAAAGTGTTTTTTTTCGTGATTTCAGGACGTTAGAAGGAAGTTATTCCATCCAATCACAGTTGTCCAATCCAAGATGTTGAGGACAACACTGGAATCTTAGCGGTTTGCGACCAAAGGTGGACTCGACCCAATTTTCCAGACGGTGGAAGTACCCAAATTCACATTTCTATTACTTAATGCAATGGACATCAATTTGGAGCTTTCTCTCAACAAATGGACTTTGACTTCTTCGCTATCTCATGCTAGATGCAACACTAGGGTTTAGTGGATCGCTCCACTGTGTACAACCATCGTTCAAGAGGAATTTCAATCACCTGGACTAATGTCCAGCAATAATAAGATGTTAATAAACCGAGAACGGGAGGAAAACTAACCAAACAACTTGAAGAAAATGACTTCAAATGGCCATGGATGTAACGTGACTATTAATTGTGAATGCGGCTGTATCACCATATCCTCTGAAAACTGACATCAGCTCTGTGGCGTTGTTTAGGAAAAATAAACCCAAAAAGAGCATTTTTATCATAACATTTCTTGAAAAGTTTTACTTGTGCATTCATCTGTTTTATTTTGCACGGCTGTGAGTTCAACGTTTGTTCCTGGCGATCGATTCATGGCATATTTACAGCGGGTTATTTTTAAATACTTTATCTTTATCGCTGTGGTGCGTTAAGGGCGCGCAATGAACGTTTAGATTCTAAACGTAATTTGAAGTGCCCTTGAAAGGTAAGGCAGTATCCAGGAGACGGCGTAATGGGCGCAGACTGGTGCGCCACCTCACATCGCCGAGGAAAACAGAGGGTGTTTGAGCACACACTTCAGAGAGAGTGTGGTCGACAGATTCTGGACTGTTTAAAGATTTCCACAGTCTTGGTATCTACGTCTACCGGGTCTTCATTTTTGACAACATTTGAAGCAAACTAAGGGAAAAAGCAAATGCAACTCATGTCTGTATGAAAAATATGTATGTAGGAAGTAACAGTCACGTCGATGAGACAGAGTGAGAAGTATCGTTTTCGGCATGAGCAAAACGCACATCTGAGGATCTGTAAATCTGCTTCCAAAGAAGGGATAGCGTCTCGAATATCTCATCGGCCCGCTTGCATATCGCTCCAAACCTAAAAAGCTCGTAAGTAAAATACGTCCTCACAATGCAGCTACGCAAACACCGGAAAAACATTTAAGGTAGACAGCAAAGCTTTTAGTGTTTCCAGAAGATATTTCCCACAAATTTTGGCGCGCGCCAGCCCCAGCAAGGAGCACAAAAACGACATCTGGAACATGTGCTGGATTAATCACCATGCCTGACTTACTGACACCCAGTTGTAGCTCAACCGAAAAGCACGCAAACAAGCAGGCAATTGAAGTTTAACAGAACTTACATAACCAAGCAATCAATATGCACAAAACATGGTATGAATATGCAGTTCACAGCATTTAAGTGATGTCTAGATATGCAGTGGATGCATAAATATGCAATTCACAGCATTTAAATGATGTCTGGGGCTATGGTACGATTTCTGGGAGACATCCGGTGCGCTGCCGTTTTATTGTCGGACTGCGCGGTAGAAATTTTTCTGATGATGAAGTACGAGACAGCGGTCCAAGGAAAGCGGGAACGTATTGGACTCAAAATGGGTCACTGCTTGATCTTACATCGGGAGGATCAAATGAAAGAAGACGACCGAATTGACTGATGTGACTCATCTCCTGATGGCTGTCGTGTTGCTTTTCAGCAGTGCTGTCCGAATTGAGGGCTTGACCTGCAAGCTAGACTCACAAGACTGCCATCTTTATGATATAGATACTGTTGTGTAACGGCATATTACTGATGTGCGCCTGTCGAAACGTCCTTTTTGCAGCAATCATTTTTCGCTGTGTGAAACAATCGACAGCCAGAGCACAACACGTCATGTAGAAGCTGAGATATTTCATGTAGTACGCGATACCTTATTAGGATGCGGATAATGACCTGATGATGAGATATATCGTGAAGTAATGACGAAGTTTCAAAGTTTCTTATGTCCCTTGCTCTTCCAGCTTTTGTTAACCACCGCCTACGCACGACAGCATTCCCGGAATCAATGATCCAAGATCCCTCCTTTTTGCTCTTGCAGTCACAGGCTGCTCCGGCACTTGCATTAGGATGCTGCCAAGCGGCCGACACGACGAGCCAGTTGAAACTGGCAGACGCGAGTGCAGCCAATCTGCTGTGCGGCCGGTGCGTGCGCGCCGTGCGCCGCCGCGCGCCGTTTTTCCCAATCGGCCGCCTGCCCGGGGGCGGTAATTGTCTCCCGAAGGCGGCGGTGATTTATTTTTCGGCCGGGTGGCGCGGCCCGGTTGGCCGCTCCAGCTGCACCGCCGGGGGCTCGCTCGCGGCCCACCGACGTGTCCGACTAACAGTGCCAGACGGAGCGGAACTCGGCTCGAGGAGCGGCCGTACGCGCCAGATTTACGGCGCAGCGGTGAAAGCCAGACTAGGAGCGCCAGGTCGCCCACTTGCGCACCGTGTAGATGCGTTGGATGCGAGAGCGAATGTGTTGTTACTCCCAGACGCGCGCGGGACGCACAGAACCGTCGCATGTCGGTCTCACACAAAGGGGATTGTTTGTCCGCCTCACAGCTACGTCATTGTCCGACAGTTTTACACCGGCGCGACAGTGCGATAAGTCTCTCACAAACGCGATACCGGCTGCAGACAATAGAGTGTCCTTTGAATACTAAACAACACACCGTTGTTATTTAAAACACTCTGAAATAAACTAGAGCAGAAGAAACGTCAACGGTACAGAAATGTAGTCAAGCAAAGCCCAATTGAAAGAGGTAGCGACGCACCACGACTGGTGGCCTCAATACTGACTGAAGTGGGCATTGGTTTCCGCACGGTTTCGTGCATTGCTGTGCATCGTCCTACATGGAACTGATATTTTATTACAATTTGATAGCATCACGGAGCCGGACGCATTTGCAAGCATTCACATTCACGCAGCATTCACATCTTTGTAAATGCTCCCAGGGCATAAAGGGTGATGGAGACACATTCTCTAAACGTTTAAAGAATGTATGCTAACTTTTGATATGACGAGGTATGCATCTTATTTACAATCGCAAAGGCTCCCAATGACTCACATTGCTATCAGAGCTACTGCAAAAGGAACAACAGCTATGCACATCATTGTGCTTTGTTTTTTTGTGTTATTTGAAGCACATTACATTCCCGTCAGGGTGTCATACACTTTGTAACAAGCCTTCTAACGCCTGCTGGTACTTTCAGTGAGGTTTCGCCCCGAGTGCATTTCGAAAATGAAATAGATTAAGCGTAACAATGCACCAGCGAACACTGACTCTCCAATGTGCAAGGCAGGGGCGGGCCAGACAGACCCGAAGAGAGCATTTAAGCTTTTAAAAACCTCCATTTGCAACACCACCCGGAGACACGATCTGAACAGCGATTCCAATCGACCAGTTCATTTTGTGAAAAACTTCTGTAGCATCTAACCGATTACCTTACTGTGATGGGTTTTTTTGCCCGCTTGAGGCAGCCAAGCGTGCCACATGGCTTCATCGTCTGATGCTCATCCAGTTCGCATTAATAAATTCGGAGCAAGCATGGTTTGATACGCCGGAGTAATCTCCTGTCGGGGGTCTTCGCCCATCTGTCTGTGCGAGCTATTTTCACACAGAGCATTTAAGCCTGGCACTGTACGGGGAAATTGGGGGAGCGGCTGCAGCCCGTGAGGAACAAACCATGACGATTGGCCGTAAACAGCAGATCCATGGCTTCTAAAGACAGCTGGCCAAGACAGCCCGAACGTATTGGTGCCTTCTGCCCTCCCACATGTGATGACGTCATTCATGTTCCAGACACATTAAGTCCTAGGACGAGGCCAACATATGACCGCATTTTTATATCTCTGGGGGAACAAAAAGAACCAAAAGCTTCATTAGTAGTAACATTCAACCCATCCCATTTCAGCCAGACACCATCCAAACGGTCTTTCATACCTCGGCTTGGTCTCCTCGCACGCGAAGCTCACATGATTCTCGGACTTCCCGGGTACCCAATCAGACGTTAGGTCTGGGCGGTCTGCCTGTCGTATGTTCAGCTACTGACCCGAGCTCCAGCCAATCGGGCGGCGACGCTGGTAATTAGCGAGGTCAAGCCAGGAGGAATAATTGCATCTCGAGACATCTGGGAGCAGCATGCAAGACCTGGCCAATTAATTAGCCTGTCCGGAGAACACCGCAGTTTGCCACCAGGAGCATTAGCGACCACAGAGATGTCTGGGGTAACTGTCAGTGTTGGCCAGCAGTTGCTCCGCATGAGCCGTGGGCATTTTTGCTTTGTTGGAAATACTCATCACGCAGAGTAATGCTGTTATTTCAACTCGCAAAGCTTTCAAAGTTGAGTGGCTTGACTAGCCAGGCTGATTTAGATTGCTGTCTGAGCAACCTTGCAAGGGGGCGTCTGTAGTAACCCAACCCTGTCAGAGAGCAACTGCATTTGGTTACATGCGATTCATAAATTATGCAGGCGCTAACAACTACAACCACTTTAGGATTTCCTACTTTCAGGCTCATCCGATTTCGTAAAACATCTTTTTGCGGATGCAGGAAAGTCAGTGGCAGGGCAATGCCATTTTTAAAATAATGAAGACGTCAAACAACTAAAAACCAGCTTGAATTACAAGCATGTGCATTTATAATAAAATAACTGTAACTTTATGCGCGGAACAAAATTGTTATGCCTACAAAATAGCTTGGTGCTATTACTTTTTCACATTTTTGTGGCGGGTATACTAAGTTTGTCATTTCTGCGTTTCAGCAAGAAAAAGTAGTTTGTGAAAAGCCTTAGACTAGTCAGTGTCTTAGGCCCAGCATCTGTACAGAGCATGTCTAATAATGAAAGCTAACTGCATGGGACGTCGCTATCGCTCTTCAGATGGCTCGCCAGAGGGCCAGAACCGACAAATGAAGCACGTCACAAGGGCCATTCTTCTCCCCGCAGACGGATTCCAGACCAGCTCCCGCCAGCATAAACTCCAGCAGAACGCTGCGCCATCCCCACAGTGCTGCACCGGAGCATGACGCAGTCGTTGCCATGGTAACGCCGTCGGTCACTGATTGGGTCTCTTGTTGCACCGGTGCGGCGGCGTATGACGTACCGAGCAGTACGGAACATAATTTTCGGATCGTGTTGCCAATCTGGCGCATGCCGTGGGTCTGGGTCCAGGGCACGGCTCGATACGGCGTGCCACGTTCGTCTTGAAGGTCTGGCACTGGAAGAGAGAGAGAGAGAGAGAGGGGGGAGAGGGAGAGAAAAGTGAGAGAGAGAGAGAGAGAGAGAGAGAGAGAGAGAGAGAGAGAGAGAGAGAGAGAGAGGAGAGAGAGAGAGAGAGAGAGAGAGAGAGAGAGAGAGAGAGAGAGAGAGAGAGAGAGGAGAGAGAGAGAGAGAGAGAGAGAGAGAGAGAGAGAGAGGAGAGAGAGAGAGAGAGAGAGAGAGAGAGAGAGAGAGAGAGAGAGAGAGAGAGAGAGAGAGAGAGAGAGAGAGAGAGAGAGAGAGAGAGAGAGAGAGAGAGAGAGAGAGAGAGAGAGAGAGAGAGAGAGAGAGAGAGAGAGAGAGAGAGAGAGAGAGAGAGAGAAGAGAGAGAGAGAGAGAGAGAGGAGAGAGAGAGAGAGAGAGAGAGAGAGAGAGAGAGAGAGAGAGAGAGAGAGAGGAGAGAGAGAGAGAGAGAGAGAGAGAGGAGAGAGAGAGAGGAGAGAGAGAGAGAGAGAGAGAGAGAGAGAGAGAGAGAGAGAGAGCAGAGAGGAGAGAGAGAGAGAGAGAGAGAGAGGAAAAGCCTTTTCAAGGGGCTGAGGAATCTGTCGAACTTTCAGGGTCCGAACTTAATATATTTCACTACCTACGCTACCTACCGCACCCCTCTTTTCAGCAACGTGGTTCTTCTCCTGCCCTCTAGACTCCCATCCGCGCCCACACTCCCCCGCCCTGGCATGCTGACGCCCTGGACAACCCGTCGGTCGTCGTGACCCGGTGTGCTCACCGATATCGTCGTTGTCTGAGGAGCTGTCGTACTGGCGCGTCCTCCAGTCGGCGCCCCCGGGAGGCGGGCCCTGCCCGGCCGCCGGGCGAGGAGACCGACCGCGGCTTGCCGCGCCCCTCGATTCCGAGTCGGCTCACTGCGGCACGCGGGGAGCGAGTGTCAGTGTGCGGCACGAAGGGGAGCCAGAGGCGTCGTCAGTGGCGGCACGATGGGAGCAGAGTGGTGTCAGTGGGGCAACGCAGGAGCAGAGGCGTCAGTGTGCGGCACGCCGGGAGCAGAGGAGTCAGTGTGCGGCACGCGGGGAGCAGAGCCGTCAGTGTGCGGTACGTGGTGGAGCAGAGGCGTCAGTGTGCGCCACGCACGGAGCAGAGCCGTCAGTGTGCGGTACGTGGTGGAGCAGAGGCGTCAGTGTGCGCCACGCACGGAGCAGAGGCGTCAGTGTGTGGCACGCAGGGAGCAGAGGCGTCAGTGTGCGCCACGCACGGAGCAGAGGCGTCAGTGTGTGGCACGCAGGGAGCAGAGGCGTCAGTGTGCGGTACGGGGTGGAGTAGCAGCGTCAGTGTGCGGCACGCCGGGAGCACAAGAGTCAGTGAGCGGCATGCGGAGGAGCCGCAGGTCAGGGTGCGGCACGCAGAGAGGCAGCGCAAGCGGAGGGCAGCGGCATCAGTACGCGGCGCACATGGGGACGTTGATATCAGCACTAACACATCAGAAAAAGGAAAAACAGTGTTGACACCGTGAGACGGGAATGGAAATGCTGGGGTACGCCGGGTAACAATAAAAAATCGGAATATGACAACGCAAAACTGAGGCTCAAGATAAGTATCTTTTTTCTTGTTCTCTGTTGTCTAGCGATAGCGACTTTTCCCTGGCGCCATTCCCAGGTGAGTTGGCGTGAGATATATCACCTGTCTTGACCCTGACGTTCTCTATTTAATTTCGCCATGTTCATGAACTTAGGAAGTATTGTTCAGATTACTATAGCTCTAAAGCTCCCCGTGCTTGACGGTGCACTTCACTCTGTTCTTGGCGCCCTTTGGACTTCAACCCCTTATACTCTGTGCACAAAGCAAGTTGCGATACAAATATCGAGCTAGCGTAATGTGCGCAAAATGTGCAAGTAGCGTGACATGCCTGAAATGGAGTATAATATGTGAGCCTGACGCGTGTGTCGTGCTGCAAATACGTGACTGTGGTGCTCCGCCTACCGACCACTTGCAAACGGTCACAGTTAGGGTGTAATGCCAGGGCCGACAGTGCCAGGCGCTCCACGCTCCATTAAACAAACATATATTCCATATCCTTTCAAACCAAATAAAAGTGTTGAGTGTATGCACACACGAATAACAGTAAAAGAAAATTAATACGGCCGGTGAACGAGTCCTTGTCAGCGCATTACACAGGATTTGTTGGGGCCCATATTGCCGTCATCTGCGCTTCAGGATTGCTATAACTCCGCTTCACCACCGGCAAACAGCGACTTCCACCAACTAGTTAAAGCCAGGTAACAGGCGATAAACCGGTCGGGGCCGAGGCCGGGTCAGGGCGTGTCGACCAGGCGGCGAGGGCGGAGTCTCGTGTAAGCCAGCGCCTGGCACCGGCCCGACTATAATCTCATTTACTACTCGGGCACTCCCGCTCAACCCAAATCACGAGCACGTGTTCCCGAGGTCTACGGGCCTCATTAACGTCTATAAAGGCGTTGTTACTGGACTAACGTGGTGTAAGGTATACGAGCTTTACCGTGCAATCGCGTCGTTGTGTACATTACATGTACACTACATGACATAAATTTACATTACATATTCGTCATGTTCAAGTTATGAACGCCACAGAGATATTCTAAGGTGTAATTTGTCTTTGTAGCCTGTGTGGTTTATCGTGGCATCGTTCAAAACAGAAACTTCGCGTACATCTCTAGGCTGAAAAAATCGCCATACTCTGGCATTATAATTTACAGCACATGTGCTCAAATTACTGGATTTAAAAAGCTGCCCACACACAGTCCATGCGACGAGAGGGTGTGCGTTTATCTTGGAATCTAGCATTTTAGATAAGCAATACCTTTATGATAATGTCAAAACCATTACCTGCAGCTGGTCATGCACGGTGCGTCAAAGTCTCTAGAAACGGCAGATGGCGTGTGACCCCCCATTGTGCGTGTTGTCAAATGTTGATAAAATCTTGCTATGAGGAAATGATCTACTTCAAAAACTGTTAGTCCGACACTTTTCAGGGATGCTCTTTCACCGCCGTAGTTCAGCACATGGTGTATCTATGCATGCTGTTTGCAAAAAGTGAGTTAGAAGAAAATTACATATTTATCGTTCACTTTACAATGACGTTACTTGAGCATTTCTTGTAGTCTTTGCATTGAATCTTTAACCCATCCATGAAGTATGGATTTTCAGATTTAACGCCATCATGAGCAAGATATAAACCATTGATTTTCTACGAATATCCTGTTTGCTGGACATCATGGCTCGGGTCAGAAGCTCATGGTAGGTGCACGTGCTGAGGAGCTGGTCATCAACCCTTTCTTTCTCCCGTCTCGCTCGCCTGTCGAAGTTTATCACCACCTCCCCACCTCTCCCCCTCCTATTGTTCGGCTCACCTCTAGATGGGCGAGGTCACCTGGGAGGTCCGAAACCTAGGGACGCAAAAAATAATCACTTCTCTGGCGGCGGAGCTCAGGTAACGGGTCGCCTGGGAAATCAATTAAGCCCCGGATATTTTTATGGGGTTGGCAACGGAAGGGTCGGAGACACCACAATACGACGCAGAGCGCCACACCGAGTGAAGTCACGATAATGAAGTCACGACCGAGTGAAGTGGACCGGGTGACGTCACGTGGAGCGCCAGACCGGGTGACGTCACGTGGAGGAAGCGGCGGCCGACGTGGAATGTACGGTGGACGGACATAGTGACTATGAAAATGACGTGAAAATGACGACGTATGTGATTGCCGACTTCGACTGCTCCAATACACAGGGTGCACATTAAACGTGACTCATCAGTGCACGATTGATGCAATATGACAGAGGAAGGGTCTGCAACCATGCAAGTATAATGATAATTACGTCTCTCATTCGGTTAGGGGGTGACACATTTATGTAGACATATTTCGAATGGCACCAGCGATTGGCACAGCGAACCACACCAGTGCAATTTTCTGTAATATGCTCCTGCGGTTACTGTCAACAAGCTAATGAGCGGTGTGTTTGGGTCATGCACCTTTGTAATTTGAGGCTCTCTCACTCAGGGTTCCGTTCTAAAAGTTGGAGCTATGTGAGCTGTCCCGTTCTAAAAGCTGGAGCCAAGTGAGCTGTCCGTGCGATCTAACATCAAAGTGACCACAGATACTTCAAGGTTACAGGTAGGTCCAATATATGGCTAATTGGTAGTGTTCGGTAGTAAAAAGTCATGAGGTGGAAGCAAACAACTTCGCCACAATAGTACACGCTTAGCTTAAGATTTACGGCTGGAGGCCTTTGCTTTTTTTGGAAACTGTGGTAACCATTCCCAGCGCACCTTCTCCTCAAACCGTAGCCTTATCTGCGTCCGTTTTCACAAGGCCAGCAACTGCAACGACTGAGGTTCTTGGGATCTGCCGTTGAAGGTTCTGGTTGGACACAAAACAGCGGCAGCTCTAGGACGTGTTTCACCAAATTTTAATAGTCATATGACCTTAAAATAGTTACACGTTAGTCTCCTGTGTAGCTGCTTTGTTCTCATCAAGCTTTCTTCGCCCGTGAGATCACAGCCAGTTGTCCGCTGGCAAAGCTGAGTCCTCGCCGCGCCTCTCTTTGACATGAAGAGCACCCAATAGATCCACGATCAACCCGCACCAGGGTCACAGCGGCGCGCGTTCTCGCATGTTCAGGATAAAGCGCTGCGCAGCAACGTCAGCCGTCCGTGGACGGCGAAGGACGCGTACGACATCCGGTGTGCTGCGAGAGTCGCAAGGTGCTTTTGGGCTGCTGTGTAGCAATGCTTTTTTATCGCGTCATGGAATGTGTGGGCGTTAGCTGGTAGATATGAGCAGCGTTATGAGAGTATTTCGCATGAAAACGAACTGGTGTTATATGTAACAAATGCTCCGGGGTGTCCGAAGTCACAGAAGCGCCTGCTCCTGAGTCTGCTCCTCGTTCTGTTCCGTGCGTTCAGTTAGGGTGACCTGCAGTCGTATGCGCAATCCAAGGCTGTGAAGTGTCAGGAAATTCATGACTCGAGGGGGTGGTGGGATCGTGCAGCCACCTGGATCGGGCCGCCGCACAGGTGAACGGGGTTGTCGGCCGGGTGCTGGACGTGGGGATACTGTTCCGGTGGACACCTGTGTTGAGCGGCACAGCATATCAGGACAGGTGCAGGCGAGGCAGTATGAGACAGTTATCGAATGATTGGATCTGGATTCTGGATGCGCTACTAGGGGACTATGGGAAAGGGAAATGTGGGTAAACCGGTAGTTGGTTGCGATTATTTACGTGCATTATAGTAAAAGGCAGTGATTTTTTGTTCGCTGATGGCGAACTGTGTCATTAACGAATTGCTGTAGGCGTGTCGGCGGTTGAATCGGTCATAAAGATGAATTCTCTAGGCAGTTGTTACTGTCAAGCGTTAGCACCATCTTTTGGGTCGAAATTTAAGTGCACAAATTGGACGTGACTGAATCGGAACATTACGCCAAGTTTGCTGATTTCCCACAATGCCTTAATTCTTCATTTGAAATGATCATTTCTTTAGCGGAACTGTTGTTGATAAAATTTCGATTCATGTTATATAAGATAGGATTCCAATCACAAGCACTAACCAAGAAATTTAATTTCCGCAAAAACCCGTCACTTCCGGCTTGAGTGCGTTTAGTAAACTGTGTCAGCCTACAGCGGCGTTCAACATTCGAACCGCCACGCGCGCGGTGAGTTCGTTAGACCGCTGGACCCGATGGGCTGGCTACCTGCAGACCAATGGCTGCCGTTATATTTAGGGTTAAGTAGTCTTGCTCACAGCTATGGCCAGCCATGCCGTTTTGGAAATGTATCCCAAATCACATGTTGTATGTTGTTGTACGACGAAGTATGCTTTGGGGTGACGGCAAATTTCGCACGGAAGCTATGAAGCGGCCAAATTCCGTTTGGGAGGGACGGACCCTAAATTTGTTGTCAAATGCGCCAGAATAAGGTGCATTGCTTTAAAATATTACCATCGTGTTGGAAACGGGGGTGCCGGCAATCCAGTACCGCCAATCTGCGTGTCTGCAAAGCAGAGGTGCAGGGTTCGATTCCCAGCGGTGGCGCCCTTACTGCCAGGATAAGAGGCGTGCGACGCCAGATAGCTTCATCAGCTGAGTGCGTCGTTAAGCTTTAATGGCAGACGAATGCATTGAAAGCAGACACGGCTCTGTTAGTTCCCTTGGATTCGTACCTCTAGATGATCTACGTAGACGTTCTAGCGTCATGAACACATTATTTAGTCCGATGCATTGTTCCTGTCGGATTTTTATAATAATCTCCAAAAATTACAATTCCTAAACGACACGATTCGCATATAAATCAGGAGTGGATGACGTCAATTTTAAAACATTTTTAGGTTAATAAAATACTTGCAAATTATCGGTCCACTCGGGGTGGCATGTTAGGAGAAGGGTTAACAGGGATTTGATATAACCCCCACTCCGTCGCAGGCAAAACAGCAGGCTAAACCTGCTGCTCCCCCCCCCCCCTCAGCTTTATTTCCACAGCGTTCGTAATGTCACTGTTCCGCACTTGGAAGTAGAGTATTCAAGGTAATGAACAATTTTAGTTGTGCGGGTTGCGGCTTTTGCGCTCAGGTCCTATGCGACACGGTTGCATGACTAAACTCCATCAACCTTAGGTCGAAGCATGAAAGGAAAGGTGCTGGTAACCCACACTTCCCCTTAAATTTTAAGACGCATCAACAGCCAAGGCAATAGTTATGGGATGCCCTCAGTCAACATATATCTATGACATTTGTATATTTATGCGGACTGGGCACCTCAAGAACCCGTGAGGCTTTCTATGAGTCTTTTTCAAAATGTTTCCATGTGTTCTGATAGCCTTTACATGCCGCGCTGTGCTTTCTTCCACTTAATTTATGTGTCCGTAACTGGGTCCAGCGAAGCTCATTATAAATAACGAGCACGTTTAGAAACAACTGCGCCAAGTGCCATAGCAAAGCACCGCTTCAAGTCTCAAGCCATTACGCCACGCTTGAAGTGTAGTGCACTTTAACAAAACGGCAGACAGAATCCCTACGTCTGTTTTCGGCAGTGAGCCCTCTTAGCCGCAGGTGTCAAATGCTGTTGATAAAATAACCGACGCACGAGTACCATTTATCGGTAAGATACTCGCCAAGATTTCGTGGTGGCATTTACTGAGCGGCCATTGCAATGGACGGTCCTCCGACCAAGCTGGCCTGTCCCCAGCGGAGCGAGCCACACAAAGGTCACCGTGATCGCTGTCCGACGGCCAGCATATGCACAAGCGAGTCAGGCCAGCGCTCACACAAGCCTCGCCCGTAAAGCCGGCGGGGGAAGGGGGAGGGGTGACTGCCGCCGCTCGAGCTTCCGTGCACAACCGCAATCGGGCCCGGCGCCACCAGCGAGTGGCGCGTCGCGGCCGGCGCCGGGCCTCGGCACGAGGTGCGACGCGTGCCGCCGGACGCCCGCCCAATTCATCAGCGCCGGAAACGGACCGAGTTACGGCCGGGGGGCGGCCCGGGCCGGCCCACTTGAGCCAAACAGCCCTCACTCAGCGCACAGGGGTGGCACCGACCTGGTCTCTGCTCGGGGGACGCGTCTACCACCCTCAGACCACCGAACTGCGCACTGGTACCCGTCCTCGAGTGATAGCATGCAGGCTGACTGAATGGGGATATATTGCAGTAGGTACAAGCACGCTGCTAGCCACAGTGGCGCAGCAAATGGGTTTATGGGGCTTTAGCTCCCCCCGCCAGGTTCGAGCGCAGTTATTTACCACGACATTACTAAATATAATTCTGGAATCTGGTGGCCAGGAAAACTATGTTGGTTTTAAATCTCATAGACGCTACCATAAACAGTAATATACAGAGTCCAACAACCATGATTAGGCAACAAGACTACCGGATACCCGAGTGAATATGTATGTACGGTACGCAGCTGAAGCAATTATTTACGACATCAGAAAAACCGACATCGAAACCTCATTGATACGCTAGGTAATGTACCTTTTAGCGTATATGCGGCCTGCTAGCCTGGTCAGTGAGAAGGTACTGCTATTGGAACTGGGACTCGCTGGTGAAAATTAGTTTGTCTCAAATCATGGCAGCCCCTGCCATCGCAAAGTCTGGCTGCACCCGTGGTGACGCGTGCATTAGTTGGAAAGACAGATCACTGTCGTTTAGGTGCCATAAATTACCCACTTTTCTTACACTGTTTGCATTTTGGTTTTGGTTTTCAACTGCATGCTCAACTGTTGTCTTGGAGAGAACAAATAATCAATATCACGGTGCTCGCATGCTTTGTTCACATACCAACAGAAGCGACAGCCCGGGAGCACTGTGCACGCGCGCCCTCTTTTGTTTGACAAAAGTTCCAAATAAACACTACGCCCGCCTGTAACCTGGCCGCCAGTCAAAGAGTCAGATCACACTCAGCTGCCCCACAGCTAACAGCACGACCAGTGGACTGCTGTGCCGGCAGTCAGTCACCTTTACTCTGCAACTGCACGGCGCAATCTGCAGAGGCCGCCTGTGCTCTGAAACTACGCGGTCATCTCCGCCCATTACCGGCCACCTCTGCACTGCAGCTGCTCAATGATCCCTGCGGTGTAGCGTTTCCTCTGTCATGTGGCCACCCGCCGGCTCCCTCTGCCTCGGCCGGCCGGCGTGGCTCTGTGGAGTCTCCATCGCCTCCCTCTGCCTCG